AACAAAGAGGCAGTCTGACTGCACTTGCTATGACACGGTCTGCAGCTTCACACTCGCAGGTTGGCCTGCAATTCCTCAGGGCAACCAGCCTACCTGGCCACTCGCAAGCTGTGCTGTGAAGCCTGGCTGGGCTCTTTCCTGAGTCCCCGCCTGACTGGGCCATCTCTGGCTCCCACAAGTTTTCTGGGCTTTCCTTATAGGACCATTATCAGGCGCCCTGTTTCTTTCCTGTAGGGCTTTTCCCCCAAGCAGATCTAGGGTTACTTAAGGATGGGCCTTGACTTCTCAGATGAGATTCTAACCACCTTCATCTCAAGACCCTTTAGAGTACAAACCATTTGTTGTGATTACTACATACCAGATTTGGTGTGCGGCCCTGGGCAGAGAAAGACGACTCTGGGAATGAGAAACACCACTGGCCAGGACCCAGGAGTGGCACTGAGAGCATGGCAGACAGGTAGTCTCTTAGCTGTGTGTGGGATGGGTGGCTGGGTGGGGGTTCCTGAGGCTGGGCTAACGAGAGCTTGGGTATACGTTGGTGACAATCAGTGGATTTCTTTGAACCTGTGGGGCCAGTATGGAGGATAGCCTAGAAAGGGAGGAGACTCAAGGTGGAAGAGAAGAGCTAAGATGTGAGGGCCAGGGAGCCACGGCAGTGAGCCTGTGAAGACTGGATGACCACCGAACAACAACTGGGGGTCGGAGGTGGAGGAGTGGCGGGGACGGAAGGTGACAGCCTGGCTTCAGTGAGCTCTGTTGCAGAGACCAGGTGAACATGGCAAGGCGTGTTTTGCTGGGAAGAAGGGTCAGGCAGGTGGGTCTGGACGCAGGGGCCGCTTGGAAGTTAGCATACATAGTTAGGTGGAGAGCAGGTCCTGTGTAAGGGAGAAAGAACGGGGGTGCTAGTACTTCGGGGTGGCTGGGAGAAGAGCCTGTAGTGGCTCAGGGGAGTAGGAGACCAGGAGGAAGGTGGATGCAGGTGGATGCTGTGAGAGAGAATTGCGTTTCTGTGCAGGTGGAGCCAGGCTACAGCACCTCTGGGAGTGGAGGTCAGACCAGAGGTCACCCTGCGCTCTAGGACTCTGCGCAGGACCCTTCTCTGTCTTTCATGGATGTGTGTATTGGGTATACACAAATATTCTGAGATTTCTGAGCTTTGTCATAATTTGTTTTTTAATTCAGAGAAAAGAAAGCCAGGGAAGGGGGCCAGAAGGGAAGAAAGAAGCCAGAAGAGCCTGGGGCCTGGTATCTTGGAGGCTCTGCTGCTAGACTGCTCCCCATGTTCTCCCCCAGTGTGTGTCCCTAATGATACTGAGTGAAGGACTGGCACCAAACAGACCCGCCACTAAATGCACTAAGGAGACATGGCTACGATCCCAGCCCAGGTGACTGAACTCTGCTTCCCCAAACTGCCAGCAGTGAGAAGGTCTGTCTGTCTATATCTGGTTTACTCAGTGCCTGCTCAGGCAACTCTGTGTGTAAATATGACAATGCTTAATAAAAGATGTAATCGACTACTATGATTTAATTAAAGCAGCCCTTCCTTCTATTTTAACACGAGTTCCCCATAGAAACCACTTCAGTTTGGCTCCTGTGAATGGCAGGTTATTAATGTAGCCACCTGCAGGCTTTCTTGGCTTTGCTAACAATCTGTCTCCCAGCCCAGCCAGAGGCTTCCTTGTGATGGAGGCCCCAGCGTGAGATCAGGAGGCCTTCCACGCACCGATTGGAGGGGCTGATTTCCTCCTTTGTGCTCCACTGAGGCTAGGCCTTCACAGAGCTCCCAGTGGGCAGACAGTACCTAGCTTTGTCTCCATCCACCAGTCATTCCTGCAGTGAAATCTGTTCCCACTGTAGCCAATATAGCATGTTCATTCTAAGAAATGCTGTTATGTGATTTTATCTTTAAGGAGAACAGCAGAATTAATGCAAGCTAAAACAACTATGGTGTCCCTCGGTGAGGTCCCATGGTTGCATGGGCTGGGCATGAGTGGGACTTGGGGCTGGCTGCATTGGCCCCAGAACTGGGCTCTCTGGGAGATGGGGATGGCACTGGATCACACACAACAGCTCTCCTAACAAGGGGATTCCCAGCCCAGCCCAGAATGAATTCATCTTCTAAATGGAAATGTCAAAGGCTGGAAAACGTTGTTGCTAATGATTTTGGTGATGAGCTATTCAAGGCAGCAAATGGTCAGATCAGTCACATGAAAATGAATTTGGCAGTGCTGCTGGGGAGCTGTTAGCCTCAGGGAGAAGAGCAGGTGACTGCCCCAGCAGACACTATCTCCTCCTTCATTTTACTAATTGTGGGCATGGAAGGGGACTCTGTGCCCAAGACCAGGGGGCTTGGATGGCTGCAGCACCTGAGTTGTTGGCAGGAGAGGGTTCTGGAAGGGGCGGGAGGTCAGCCTCCCAGGTCAGAGAAGCAAAGCCAGCGGGAAGGAGCAGCTTCAGCAGTGTCAGCCAGCATCAGTGTTAACTCCTAAAGGCACTTGCCACAGGAGTTGCCATGTGCAGGTTAGTTAGCCTTAATCTGAAACATCACTTTTTTTGTGTGTGCCAATATGGGGCTTGAACTCAAGGCTTGGTTGTTATCCAATACCATTTCTTCTTTTTTAATTTGCTCAAGGCTAGCAACACTTTACCACTTGAGCCATAGCTCCACTACTGGCTTTTTTTTTTTCTTTTTTGGTGGTTAATTGGAGAAGAGTCTCAGAGTTCCCTGCCTGGGTTGGCTTTGAATACCACAGCAGTAACAGAACTCGGATGCATTTTTTTTTTAACCTTTCCCTTTTACATTGAGTGTGCTGCATGTCTGATTTTGCTGAGGACTGCAGAACATAATGCAAATGATAGATGTACTCATACACATGCATCATTTGAATTTTTGGAAACTTTAGCTGTGCTGTCAACTTTGGAAAAAGTATTCCAATCAGTATTATACAGAAATGAATAACCGTATTGGTTTACAAACAGTAATTTTTTTTCATTTGGGGTGGTAACATCATATTAAATATGTAAGATCTTATCCATGTGGGTTTGAGTATAGAAATAGTCTCTAAATAATGAAAAGATGAAAGACATGTGGACATCTGTTATGGTAACTGAAACAGCTCTGCTGTAGACAAGGGGAGAGGAAAGCCAGCTTCTCCCTGGGTTACCAGTCACCCCAACCCAGAGTTTGCCAAGGCCTTACTACTGTAGGGAGTGAATCTGTGCGTAAGGCAGAATCCTGAGACCTCCCTCATATAGGATGTCAACTGGCTTAGTGCCTGTGTGTTCCATCATATGGGATGACCAGATCTGCAGACTTGGGAGTTTTATAAAAGCTGTATTTCCACAGTCTGGAGGGTCCTTAGAAAGCTAAAGATTGACCTCCCTTACGACCCAGTCATACCACTTCTAGGCATCTACCCTGAACAACAGGAACCAATATACAAGGACACATGCACTTCCATGTTTATTGAAGTACTGTTCACAATAGCTAGGATATGGAAACAACCCAGATGCCCCGCCACAGATGAATGGATCCAAAAATTGTGGTATCTATACACAGAATATTATGCAGCCATTAGAAATGACAAAATAATGGCATTTGCAGGTAAATGGATGGAGCTAGAAGGAATCATGTTGAGCAAGATAAGCCAAGAGCAAAGAGACAAATGGTACATGGTCTCCCTGATAAGTGGATGCTAAATCCAAAATGTTAGGTGATACGACAAAATTAACAGGACTTAAGAAACAAAGAACTCCACTCATCTGGTCGAACCACTACTAAATATCCCCATGCTGCTGATCACATGTATGGTATGTATGTGTACACTGTTATATGTTATAGACTGTGACAGACAATTTGCTCCAGGAAAGTTAGAATGAACTTGTGACTTTAAATGAGCATCATTATTCCACAATACTGTGAAATTTGGGAAATTATGTAATCACTTAATCACAATTAAAAAAAAAAAAGAACCTTGGGGAAGGTAAGGAGGGAAGGGATGGTAGGGGGAAAACAATGGAGGGGGTAACAATGCTCAATAGGAAGTGTACTCATTACCTTGCTCATGTGACTGTAACCCTCTGTATAGTATCTTAACAACACAAAATTAAAAAAAAAAAAGCTGTCTTTCCTCTGAGGCCTTCTCTTACAGCACCCACTTTATTTTATATTCTGCGAGTAAAAGCAGAGTCAGTAGTTGAAGTTGACCTGTGGAGCCAAGTTTGCCTGATCCCACTGAGGTATTTAGTCATCAGCATATGCCATGTGATGGCTTCCTCGGAAAAATATTTCATGGTGGCAGGATCACACTGTGGAAAGGAAAAGGAGAAAGATCAAAGTCCACTGTTGAAGCATGGGGCCAGCTCAGCCCCAGAGCTGGTTATGGAGTGTGGGATGGGTAATGAGAACAGAGGAAAGAGTACTTGGCCAATGGCAGTGTGACATGCTCAAGTTGGTGAAAAGTAAACTGCCCAGAATCTCCACCAGAATTAGTGAAAAAGGTACTTCAACTCAGGGCAGCATCTCATGAGCAGTCTGTGTGGACGGGAATTATCAAGACATCCTCATTTCCCTGATTGTTAAACTGGAGAATATATGGAGGACTCTTATTTTTCAATGTGCCATTAGGTTATGATTGTGGTACACTAAGCACAGAGAAGGAAGCAGGGTGGTGGGGCCTGCTAAGAATTTCTTGAAGGCCAACACTGGGAGGAGGCCACGCCAGGCAGGTAACCAGGATCACCAGCATTATCCGTGGTTAAACATGAGAGATGTGAAAGATATGAAAAGCAAGGCATTCTTCTGCCAGGTGAGAAAATAAACTAGAAGTAATTTGCTCCAGTGTTATAAGGTAGTTTGTTACCACTAGAGTGATCTTATCCTCAGCAATAGGCAGCTGATAAAATTTCCTTCTGAATTGCCACATCTTCTGACAACTGGAGAGTCATGGAAACTAATAGTATGTAACAGGAGAGTTAGGACACATAAAGAGACACAGAAGTATTTTGATTACTTTATTTTTTTTTAATCTTCAAAATTTTCTGCCATGACACAGGAATGCATGATAGAAATGGCTCAACATCTTCACATGAAACACTTGGATTCATTTTCATTCACAAGTTTTTCTAAACATCTACGATTTCATAACCCCGCCTACTTCCAACCATTATCACAGATTTAACTGACCATTAAACAGTAGTTGCCAGCATTAGACAGCTGGAGCGCTCTGCATATTAGTAGTGTCTTTGGAAACTACCACTCAAGAGTATCATGATTATAAATCTCATTGTACATGGCAACCCTGAAGGTGACAGATGTCCCCAAATAAACTCCCTGCGTAGCATGGAGAGCTGTCTCCTCGGGTTCTAAAGGACATGCACTTCTAGGCTTGCTTGGTCACCTCCTGGCATTTTCCTTGCGGGGATCGAGCAGCACATGCTGACCTGACGGTTGAATCCCACCACTAACAGGTAGCCATAGATGCCCGATACTCAGGTGCTCTGAGGGCTGTGGGCAGAACATACTGAAAAGTCAGGTTTGTTTGGAATTTATGTCTCTTCTTTTGAAGAGAACAATTTTGAGGTTTTCTTTTTTTTGTTTTTCGTTTTTTTTTCCTAAAAGTTGTAAACAAAAGGAAAGAGACAGACAAAGACATGTATCTATACACAGAGATCTACACTGAGTATTTTTGATGTGGTGTGTATCTTCTTCCCTAGAGACACACACAAACCCAGAGTATCCCTACTCACCCCTTCACCCCCCTCCCCGCCCTCCCCATGCAGAGTGTGATTATAAATGCTGTACGTGTCCTTGGGAGTTCACTGGAGTTTTCATATTACCAAATGATGGTGAAATACCTGATATGTATTACTCCTGAGAAGATACTAGAAGGGAATGACAGTTCTGATGCACTTTGGAATGGCACAATCACGTAAACGCTTGCATACTTAAGACTTCTGAACTCATCCAAAGTTTCTACACACGATACAACCCCCCAAAAAAGTATCAAAACAATGCAGCAAGTTAAAAATAAAAAAATGTAATCAAAGTATAAACAAATATATAGGAAATGTGTATTTGTCAGTAATTATTTTAAAATAGGAAACATGTACTTAAGAAAAAAACATAGTTAACAAAACTAAAAGGAACAAAAAGCCCCCAAACACCCATCTTCCCAAATAAAAGCTAGCCACAAGGTGTATAGCAACTCCATCAGAAAAAATTACCAATCATATAGCAAATATGTAAAGTTTGCAATTTATAAAAAAATTACTATTCACACTTCTGTAAAAAAGAATTTGCTGAATATCATCCCTCCATATAATTAATTTGTATAAAAACGACAAGTGAACCAATGAATTTCAAGCACCAATTCAACTACTTAAACAAACCTACTGTCCTTCTATAGAGGGAGCAAATGATGAAAGCTAAGCTAAAATTAGCCAGGTAATTAGTATAGTTTAGTTTTAAAGGCATGCGGTTTGTTTCTTTCATTCACTTGAATGCCGAACATTACAGAATGTTTAGGCTAGTAAAGGACTTACAGGAATTTACCATTTCTGAGTATCAATGGTTCAGTATACATTAAAAGCTCTTCAACACACCAATGCTGTCTTAATTCTAGGATAAAATAGGTTTGCGCATAGAAATTAAGGACTGCTCCTTGATATAACTTAGAAGGGCAGCACCCACATAGTAGACTAACTAGCACATCTGCACATCTACTGCTAGTGTCAAGAAATGGCGTTATTATTCAAGAAGGCAACGCCATTTTACTTGGCAATACCGAGGTTTTCTTTAATTAAAAATCTCCATTACACATTTGGGGCGGGAGGATATCCCACTATGCACACATTACACATTTGGGGCGGGAGGATATCCCGCTATAAACGCATTACACATTTGGGGTGGGAGGACACCCCACTATGCACGCATTTCCCCCATTTTTGTTTTGGTTTCCCCCTGCATCAGGGAAAGTGGCCATCTGAGCCAGTAGATGTGTAACAGTATTTGCGATGCCTCTTGTTGTTCCTGAAGAAAACACATTCAGTTAATAAGGGGGTTTATTTTCAAAAATCAATATAACCGCTATTTTTGTTTCCAGTATTTATACCAGACCACTTACACACAGACAGTGATTTCTGAGACATAATGTTTCAGTTTGGTTAAACTGAACCTTTAGGTTGGCTCTATCTGAGACAGAAGGTAAAACTGTTGAAACAAACTGTGGAAAACAGTGGTGTGGAGTCAGTGGTGATGCTCTGCTATCTCGATCATATCACAAATCACAGGCAGCCGAAGGAGAGGAGTCAGCAGCAACCAGGATCTTACAACATAGGTGGAACATCTTGCTGGTCTTCAGAAAGCGCTTCCGCTTGCTGCTCACTGACCTCGCTGGCTGGCTCTTCATCAACGGGCTCACCGAGGTCCTCGCTGCCCTCCTCACTCTGCTCCTCACTGTGGTCTTCGCTCTGCTCCACAGTCTGATCCAAGCTGTTCTCCAGAAGGGTGGGAGAATTGCTTACCCTACTCTCTTCTTCAACTGTCTCATGTGGGGGCTGGGAAGGTGTTGGAGAGGCACTGGACTGGATGACACTTTCAGAGGAAGAAATGGGGACTCTAGTCAGAGAAGAATCTGCCACGATATCATTCTGGGGCAAAGGCAACTTTTCCACAAGTTTCCACTGAATGATGCTCATGTCTTTTCCACCAGTTGAAATCAGGTGACTGTCATTATGAGTAAAACTGACATTGGTAACATGGCTGCTGTGGGCACTATACTTGTGACTGGGAGCCTATAAAATAAATCAGACAGGAAGATTAGATTCATCCTTTACATAAGGCCTAAGGACAACAATTTGACTAGGTATAGGAGAGAACTTTGCTTATAAAACAGGTATTTTCAAACCAAAGCTTCAAGCCAGTAAATCCAAAAATTAACACCTTTTTTATATACAAGGAAGAATAAAACAACTGGACATCTGTACTTTCACATTTTATGTTTAAAAATAAAGAGTTCACCTCTCCTGGAAGTCAGGTAGCATACTTGTCAGAGCTTGGCAACTACTCTTGGAATGGCTAGGAGATAATTTACTAGACTGGCAGGATAACAGGTAATTTAAAAAGTGGTATTATTTGTGGGCTGGGAATGTGGCTTCGTGGTACAAGGAACTCCTTGCCTAGCCATGCATGAAGCCCTGGGTTTGATTCCTCAGTACCACATGAACAGAAAAAGCCAGAAATGGTGTTGTGGTTCACGTGGTAGAGGGCTAGCCTTGAGCAAAAGAAGCTCAGGGACAGTGCCCAGGCCCTGAGTTCAAGCCCCAGGACTGGGGGAAAAAAGGGAGGGGGTATTATTTTAAAGTGCCAAAAGTATCAGAGTAAAAAACCTAATTGTTGGGTCTGGGAAGGTGGCTCAGTAGTAGAGCGCTTGCCTTGCATGCTCGAGGCCCTGGGTTCGATTCCTCAGCACCACATAAGCAAAAAGAAAAAAGCTGGAAGTGGCGCTGTGGCTCAAGTGGTAGAGCGCTAGCCTTGAGCTGAAGAGCTGAGGGAAAGCGCCCAGGCCCAGAGTTCAGGCCCCACTACCGGACCCAAAAAAAAAAAAAAAACAAAAAAACCCCAATTGTTCATATAAACAAGGAGTAAAACTTCACTGGGTGCAACTGGAGAAGGAAACAGAATCTGCCTGGATTCTCCACTGTACACTTTAGTATTAATCTCAAGAATTATTTAATACCACAAAATACAACACAAAATAAGCCCCAAAGAAAAGGTCCTACAACACTGGTTTCTATGAAGCTGTGTTCACCTTCGCTTTGGAGCAGGGGTACTGGAACAGATGGACTTTACAAAAGTCATCAGCAACAGCTATCACCTTCCTGTTGTGGGATCGCACCAATGCATTGATGTCTGTCCCATCGGATCCTTCTGGCCAGACACCTAGGGAAACATATAGTGTGGAAAAAGTAGCCTAAAAATGTAATTATGTTGCATTATAGAATACCATAATAGCTTGATGGGAAATTTAGGCCAACAGTAGTCAGTAGTGACCAGCAGGGGGTGCTAACAAACTGTTTTTAAATGCTTGATACACTTCAACAAGCTTTTCCTTTTCAAAGTCCAGGTTAAAGAAACAGTTACCAGTTACTTTGTATAGCAAGATAGAAAAATCACATGCCTGGACCCTGAGTCCCAGCAGAGCCACAATACTAAGCCTTCAAAGTGAATTCTTAAGTTCCTTTATCAGGAAGACATTTTTTTTTTTGTCTAGCATGCTATCCCATACTTTTCTTGAAACATTTATGTCCAATAGAAAGATACATCTAATATAATTATTGTGAGGCATTGTAACAACTGATGAGCATGCTCAACATAAATGAACACATTAGGCTAGATTATAACTATCGAACCTGTTACTCACACCTGTAAGCTACTTAGGAGGCTAAGGTTGAGAATTAAGCTTTGAAACAGCCAAGGCTAAGAAAGTCCACGAGCAGCTTTTCCCCAATTAACTAGCAAAAAGGCAGAAGTAGAGCACCAGCTTTGTGTAAAAAAAGCTCAGGGACAGAGTCTAGGCTGAGTTCAAAAACAAAACAACATGGAATATTTGGGGGTGAAGATGTTGGTTTCTTGTACTGAGCATTACACTTCAAAGAATAACTTGCAAATTTGGCAAAAATAAGCCCAAACACTTCTTGATGGCTATTTCTTTTTTTGGGGGGGGGGTCGTGGGGCCTGAACTCTGGACATGGGCACTATCCCTCAGCTCTTCAGCTCAAGGCTAGCACTCTACCACTTGAGCCACAGTGCCACTTCCGGCTTTTTTTTTCTTTTTGCTTATGTGGTGCTGAGGAATCGAACCCAGGGCCTCAGGCATGCAAGGCAAGCGCTCTACCACTGAGCCACCTTCCCAACCCTTGATGGCTATTTCTTAATAGTAAATAATTACTGTCTCTCTAAAATAACTAAGAAACTGTAGGATAATGGTCTGAGACCAAGGCCTGGCAAAAACACAAGACCTTAGGGACTGAATATGGCTCAAGTAGTAGAGGTCCTACCTAGCAAGCACCCTCAATCTAAAACCCAGTACTGGAAAAAGCAACAAAAACAAAAAATCCTCAAAACAAAACACCCCAGAAAAATTACAAGCTACTATTTGATATTACCTGGAATAATTAAATTGTTAATGGACTGTTTTAAATTTCTTATTAGGTTTCCTCACCTTGACAGCACCTGTGTTTACAATAATGGATACAGTTTTCTAATGTCCACAATATAAAGAGATGATTATTGTGATGAGGTGGAGAACAGCCCAATTTCAGTCAGCAAAGAGGCATAGAGGGCACACAGAGTATTTTGGGTATTGATATTACACCTATATCCAGTATTTCTGTTATCAAGTATACCATCTTTTAAAAACTGTTTACAAGCCAGGCACTGGTGGCTCATGCCTGTAATCCTAGCTACTCAGGAGGCTGAGATCTGAGGATTGCAGTTCAAAGCCAGCCTGGGCAGGAAACTCTGTGAGACTCTTATCTCCAATAAACCTAGCAGAAAACAGGAAGTGGCGCTCTGGCTCAAGTGGTAGAGTGCTTGCCTTAAGCTAAAGAGCTGAGGGACAGCGCCCAGGCCCAGAGTTCAAGCCCCACGACTGACCGCCCCCCCCTCCCCAAAAAAAGTTTACAAAACAAGGTTTTATTGTTTTAACTTCTTTTTCTTCTTCGAGACAGGGTCTCTCTATGTAGCCAAGGCTCGCCTCACCTTGCCTCTTCATGCTTCAGCGTCTCCAGTGTTGACAATCAGGTGTGCTCCACCAGGCCTAAGCACTTCAACTTTGCTATATATCTTGAAACCCTTCAGAAAGGTATCTCAAGATGAGGAATGGCTTAAGGACACTGCCACAGAGGACAAATTACTTACTAGTAATGTCCAAAACACCAGATTAGAAATAATCCCCAAATTGCATGTTTAAATAATGTCTACTAAAAATACCTTTACAGCATGGAAAGTGGAATACACCTATAATTGCAGCACTTTGGAGGCTGAGACAGGAGGCCAACCTAAGTGAAGACCCTGTCTTTTTTTTTTTTTTTTGAGGATCACGGGTTCAAAGCCAGCCTGGGCAGGAAAGTATGTGAGACTCTTATCTCCAATTAGCCACCAGAAAACCGGAAGTGGCACTGTAGCTCAAGTGGTAGAGCATTCGCCTTGAGCTGAAGAGTTAAGGGACAGCACCTGGGCCCAGAGTTCAAGCCCTACCATATATAGAGCCTTTGTATTTTGACAAGCAATTTTGGGGCAACTGAACATCCACATGCAGGGACATGAAGACACCGGAGGCTTCACACACTGCTGGTGGGAATGTAAATGGTTTATTTTAGTGACTTTGAAAATAGTCTGGCAGTTCATGAAACATGCAGTTACACTTAATAATTATTGTTATAAACTCTAAAGAAATGGAAATATGTCTTTAAAAAATCCCTTTGTACATCATTGTTCACAGCAGCATTACTTATTGTAGCTAAGAAGTGTTTGTCAACTGATGACTAGAGTAACAATGTAAAACAATACCATTTGGCTACTGAAATATTTGAAGCATGTTACAACATGGATCGCTAAATGAAAGAAACCAGGTTGGTTTGTTTTTTGGGGGGGAGGGGCGCACATCAACAACAGGTATTTATATTCACAGTTAATGGATCAAGGTGCTAGTGGTTCAGTTCTTGGGAAAGTAGGCTTCTTCTCCTGTATCCTCATGGAGTCTTTCCTTCTGGCATGTACTTGAAGAAAGGGGAGGAGAAGGTGGAGAGGAGAAGAGAGGAGGATCTAGTATTTCATCTTCTTAAAAGAGCCCTAATTCCATCATAAGTCTATCCTGATGACCTCATCTAACTCTTACCAACTCAGAAAGATTAAATCTCCAGATATTGAGGTTAGGCTTTCAACAGATGAGTCTTGGAGGTAACAAAACATCCAGACCACAACACACTGAAGAGCTCAAACATATCATGATCAATCTCACCTCTGCTTTGATTCCCTGTGTTTGTTTCCTAGTATCCTGAGAGATAAGACATACTGCACAGATATTTGTAGAACTTACTCTGCATTTAATTTAGGGTCCTCTTTACGTTATATAATTGTATGGATTTAGATTTCAGGTATTTATAAATTTTCTAAATTGTGTCTCACTCTTCTGAAAAGTAGCTTCTTTGAAGATATTTACTTACATTATGGCTCTATAAAAGTGAATGTTTGGCTCTAGATAAATGTAGCTTTATTTATATAACAACTGCATAATGGAGGCTTATTATGTGCTCTTCCTGATTTTTTTTTTTTTTTTTGTCGGTCATGGGACTTGAACTCTGGGCCTGGGCGCTGTCCCTCAGCTCTTCAGCTCAAGGCGAGCGCTCTACCACTTGAGCTACAGCGCCACTTCCGGTTTTCTGGTGGTTTATTGGAGATAGGAGTCTCACAGTCTCTCCTGCCCGGGCTGGCTTTGAACCGCGATCCTCAGATCTCAGCCTCCTGAGTAGCTAGGATTACAGGCGTGAGCCACCAGCGCCCGGCCTCTTTCTGATTTTGACCTAGGAGTTTGTTCTATTTTCTGACCCCATACTTCTTACTTCTTACAAGGGCAGAATTGAAGTGGGACATAAAAGCACTTACTGTGAAATAGTCATTACGCATGCATGAAGAAACCAGTTTTAACGGATCAAATACTGTATGCTAATACTAATGCTATTCAGAACAGGAAAATAGACAGAGAAAGATTAGTGCCTGTTAGTTTAGAGTGGAGTGGGTAGAGGAAGAGATGAACAGTGACCGCTAATGGCTACTGGTTTCTTTGGGGAGTGATGAAAAGTCTAACCTTCCTTAACTTTAACCTTCCTTAACTCTAAATCCTCCTCTTCCAGTTTCTCTACTGCTGGGATTACAGATATGTACCACCCAAGCCAGGCTTTCAATTTTTCAGTTCCAAGGAAAAAAACAGGAAGGCAAACTACACTGCTATGTTGAAAGTACCTTCCTTTTAATTGTCTTTCATATTTACTGAGGACCAAAGACACAGAGTTCTGCCAATAAAAAAATACTGTATTGGCAATATGACAGTAACCAATAATCTCTACGGATGGGCACAAAGCTGGGTGTGGTGGCATGGACACCTATCCCAGCTATGTGGAAAGTGTAAATGGGAGGATCTTGGTCAATTCAGCTGAAGGTATGGCTCAACTGGTGGAGCACTTGCCCTTCAAGCACACAGCCTTGAGTTTAAACGTTCTCATCAAGAAAAGAATGCGCACAGATTATCTGTCATTTGTAAGTTTACACCAATAAGCACAATATACAGAAAAACCTCACAAACCACCTTTTTATACTGGGTATCATGTTCTTACCGAAGACTTGAAAGCCTAGCACACAGGTGTATGTTGTCCAATCAATGTCCTTACATTCTGATCGATTCCTGATTAGTTTGCAGCCATCTTTAATGTTCCCTTTAAATTTAGAAACAGGAGGTATAATCACAGTGCTTGTGTACAAATGTATTTGAAAGTGCATCTCGATTCAAACTAGCCACGTTTACTTGTATTTATAATCCATACACTGAAAAACATTAAGACACATTTAAAAAGGAAAAGTAAATGTTTACCTTAACAGGATTTTATGAAACTACAAATTGTTTTCTGTGGAAGTTTTCCCCCCCCTCTAAACAGCATAACTGCTCATCCATAATACGCTTCCCTGACTCCAGGAAAAGCTGCTAAATGAAAACCCATTCAGAGTGACATCCATCTCAATGAGTGAGTTCTTATTACTGTATGTGCCTTCAGTTCTCCATCATTAAATTAATTCATAACTGTCTTGGAGATGTGAACCACATGTGAGACATTTGTTACTTAGCTCTAAGTAACATGTACTTTGTCAAGTTAGAGGCCAGCAAGCATTCGCTGCACAATTCAAATTCCACACAGCCTGAGTATTAGCCCCTGATTGACACATCTGAGCCCCTATATAATTATTCATACTTACAGTACAAAATCTCATAGTCTCCAGAGTTAGACATTATATGCTTGTTGTCTGGGGACCAGTCAAGGTGTGTGATGTAGCTGGAATGTCCCTAGGGGAAAAACAGATTAGTGAGGAAGCAATTAGTCTTGAATGATAGAAGTTTAATAATTAGCTAATGTAGCAGTTTCTCAGCTTGAGAACAGGGAACAGTATTGTAGCCTATAAAACTGAACAGGTCCACAGCAGGCCCTCAGTTCCTTTTTACTGTCTTGCTAGAAGCCAACATTGCAGGTATGCAGTTGGCAGGACGGCCAATTACAGGGGTTGCACCACTATAGAACACCTGGAACCTGGGAGAATCCTGCAGGCTTCTTGGCCTAGATACAAAAACAAGTACCTACCACCTCTGTGAGAGATTTCCTAGAATGAATATCTTAGTTGATACTGCAACAGATCTCATTCTCTAGGCAATTTCATGCCACTGGCATCCTATTTATTAGAGAGACTGCATGTATGAAATAGCCTCAAACTTTACCCCATGGGCACACGGTTGGGAGCAAAATCTGATACACCTCTTGAAAAGAAATATAAAGCCATTCTAAGCTGCACATTTATGACTGCCATTGTGGCCAAATGGTGTAACCACAAAAACACTCACAAGTTAGGCAGCCAAAATTACAATTTGTCAACTCTACTTGAGGTCACCATCTTAAATATCAGGAGTTTACAGCTAATTTAAAATTACCTGAAGGGGCTGGGAAGTTGGCTCAGTGATAGAGAGCTTGCCTTGCATGCATGAGGCCCTGGGTTCAATTCCTCAGCACCACATAAGTAAAAAGAAAAAAGCCAGAAGTGGCGCTGTGGCTCAAGTGGTAGAGCACTAGCCTTGAGCTGAAGAGCTGAGGGACAGTGCCCAGGCCCAGAGTTCAGGCCCCACAACCGGACTCCCCCCCCCCCCAAAAAAAAAAAATTACCCGGAGAGTCAGAAAACAAAAAATACCAAGGCATGGATTTAGTGGTCCTTTTTTCCTGAGCAGATATCTAGGTGTTCCCTCACTATCCTCAGCTGGGCCATACTGTAGAACTTCTAGCAATGAGGAACACTGTTCTGAATCGGTGCTGCATGGGCATCTGTGGTTTCTAGATGACACGTGGCCAGTGCTCCCAGGAAACTGTACTGCATTGCATGTAAAAAACATTCTGTTCATAACATTTTTGTGGCCAGTCACTGCTCTTCAGGAGTGTTAGCAGGGAACTGTCTATTCTTTTTTTCTACAAATTTGAAATATCCTCACAAAGACACATGTCTTTTTCTGTGCTGTTGTTTCCATCTATCTGCCCATTCCCAATCTAATGTAGCATGTAAATTTCAGATAGGCTTTGGAACTTCATCAACCTCATGAACATCATGGTAAAAATGTAAGATTACATTAAATTTAGGGAATAGTTCAAAGAGAGATCTCCTTACTGTTTCATCTAGACATGTCACATTTCTATTCTTCTAGTTCTCTGTTTATGTCTTTCAGCAATGTTTCATGTGGTTTGCTGTGCTTCTGAGGCTAAGTTTAAAGTCCCTACAGTTTTTACTGCTATTGTGAATGAGATTTTGCTCTTGACATCTTAAAAATAATTTGCTCTTTTGAGGAAGATGGATATTAACCTATTGACTGTGAGTGAGACTGGCAGTTTCTATTACACCTGGTCACTTTTTGTTGGCTGTCCAGTTAAAATACTGTGTTTTCAATGGCATGTGCTGCTATGAGTGGCAGGAGCCATTCCGTGAACTTCCAGAAAACATTTAAGAGAATTCACTTAGTGGCAGAAGTGCCTTTTATTTCTTGTTCTTATTTTCTTCTTGAAACTGTGATGAGATGATTAGAGATGTGTCAGCATTGTTGTTTTTTGGTTGGTCATGGGGCTTGAACTCAGGGCCTGGGTGCTATCCCTGAGCTCTTTTGCTCATGGCTAGTGCTTTACCACTTTGAGCTACAGTGTCCCTTTTGGTTTTCTGGTGGTTAACTGGAGATTAAGAGTCTCATGGAGCTGGGTGCCAGTGGCTCATGTCTGTAATACTAGCTACTCAAGGGGCTGAGATCTGAAGATCGCGGTCCAAATCTAGCCTGGACAGGAAAAGTTCATGAGACTCTTACCTCCAATAAAGCACCAGAAAACTGGAATTGGCTCTGTGGCTCAAGTGATAGAGTGCTTACCTTGAGCTGAAGAGGCTAAGATACAGCAACCAGGCCCAGAGTTCAAGCCCCATGACCGGGGGTGGGGGAAGGTCTCATGGACTTTTCTGCCTGGGCTGGATCTGAATTGTGATTCTCAGACTTCAGTCTCCTGAGTAGCTAGGATTACAGGTGTGAGCCACCAGCACTTGGTTGATGTGGGAACATATTATAATACTAAGGAACAAAACAACATACTAAGATGAAGCAGAAAAGATTCTAAATATTCATAATTATTTTTTGTTATTGATTGCAGGGCTTAAACTCAGGGCCTGGGCACTGTCCCTGAGCTTTTTCATTCAAGGCTAAAGCTCTACCACTCTGAGCTACAGTGTACCACTGCTGGTTTTCTGATGGTTAATTGAAGAGTGTCATGGACTTTCCTGCCCAGGCTGGCTTTGAACTGGAATCCTCAGATCTCAGCCTCTTGAGTAGCTAGGAATATAGACCTGAGTGACTGGTGCCCAGCTAACTTAAAAAAAAATTCCTTTTTAAATTCTGGGGCTCATCCCAGTGTCGGAGGTATATATATATGTAGGTAAGTACTCTACCACTGAGCTACATTCTCAGCTCCGAAAATACCTCTTTTAAATGAGACCATGTCCTATCCTAAATTTAAGTCACTAGGATACTGTCTATAATTCTTGTTACATTAACACTGGATTCTACTGAAATCTGGTATTAGTTTAATGGTTTACTTTCTTGGAGATTTCTAGGTACAGAATTACTGTCTTTACACTTTTTTCACCCAAATAACCAAAATCCCCCCTGGCCAAAAATCTTACTTACATATTTCCTGTTTTCTAATAGTGCTTCTTAGTATATCACTACAAATTTACATACTTATCTATTGTGCTAAGATTTTTGGGGACCGCTAAAAAGCACATAAAAATGAATCAAACACAGAACCATTTTGTTAGCAGCCAGGTACAGATTAAAACAACTTTAATCTCACTGAAAATAGAATGGAAACTAAGTCAATCAGGATACAATATCATCATCTTTAATTTTAATATAATAAAAGTAATTCAGAGAAGTTAACTTGCCTAGAATCACAAACTAATGGTGGCAAAGCCAGTTCCCTAGTCTTTCATATCCTCTTTAATAGCAGACAAGAGATTAAGAAAACTGTATGACCAGTTGGTGAAAGAATACAGCAAAGAGAATGACAGCTGGAAGCAAAGTATCAAAGAGAAGATAATTAGAAAAGCTGGATTACGTAGCCAGGACCTTTCATTATAGCCTCCAACAGCACAACAAACACAAACAGTTCCTAAGGGTATCTCAACATAATGCTTTTAAACACTCATTAAAGATAAAAACTGTGTAATTAAGTAGGAGGACAAGTTTCATGCAATTGATCAATTTTCCATTTCCCAGGATTTCCAAGGTCATTCTGATGACCAAATGTCACACACTGCTCTGTTTCTTCCCTGGATCAATTGTAGTATAATAGCATAATACAGTAATACACATGTTGAAAATCTTATGGTCGTCATGCACTGCAAAGTTTGCTCTATTAAGAGGTGAAAAACTGCCTATGTCTGAGATCTGGCCCTGTGGTCACTTCTTAGTGACCAATGCTAGATCACTGGTGTTTTTTTTTTTTGAAACTCACTTTCTTCATCTGTAAAATGAGGGTTGAGCCAAGAACTCAACAATAGTGCTACCACATATAAAACTGAGATCCCACAGACTTAAATCACATTTGATATATAGGAGCCTTCCTTTTGTGTTTGCTACAGCATTGCAATTAAAAATAATTAAAAATTTGGAGTCAGGCAGGGTAAATTTCAATAATCCAAACAAAATCCAGTTGGGTGCTAGTGGCTCACGCCAGTAATCTTACTCAGGAGGCTGAGTTCTGAGGATTGTGGTTCAAAGCCAGCTCAGGCAGGAAACTTTGTGAGACTCTTATCTCCAATTAACCACCAGAAAACTGGAAGTGGTGCTGTGGTTCAAAGTGGTAGAGCGCTAGCCTCAAGCTGAAGAACTGAGGGGCCCAGAGTTCACCCAAGCTCAGAGTTCACAACCGGAAAAAAAAAACAACAACAAAAAAAACCCTTACAGTTGAATAACTTGATATTACACTAAACAGTCCATATTATAAACATTAAGGTAATGAACAGATTAAAAGATGAACTTAATATATTAATGATTGTTAATAATCAACTAATAACTGATTCATAATTTTTTTTGCTGGTGATAAGTGGGTCAAAATGCAGGTGCATAAAAATATTGCATGAAATTATCTTCAGGCTACATATAACGTATACAGGAAACATGTGACTTTCATGTGCTGACTCAAATATCATCCTTAACACATATTATGAACATGTAAATATTCACAAATCCAAGACTAAAATCTGAAACATACCTGGTCTCAATTATTGTGGATAATGAATACTTAATCTGTACTTAGTAAGCAAGATAAATTTCAGACTCAAATTGAAGCTTATTTTGCTTACTGTGAGACGTATGTTTCTGAGAAATAATTTGTGTGTGTGTGCGCATGTGTGCATGTGCACAGGTACTAGGACTTGAACTCAAAGCCTCAAACTCAGGATCTTTATGAATCTTAAGTGCTGGATTACATCACCATACCCAGCTAAGATAGTATTTTTAGAGGCAGAGAAGTGATAAAAGGTAATGTAGAGTGTCAAGGATGGACAGAGATAGACAACAGTGAGATTCTAAGTCAGAGGCCTTTTATTTCCCACTCCCTGTTGTTTTTTTTTTAAAAAAAACTATAGTGATCAAGATGGACTGTACTCACAAATGGACATGTTGCACTGTAACTCCTTTACATAGCTACTTGAAGATAATAAAAATATACTTGCAAAGTGCAAAACCACTTTAAAAAACTATCATAAAACTAGTCAAATATCAAGCTCTCAGCAAAAGGAGCTATATTTCCAGAACACAGTGGGAACTACAATGTTTTGAAGTCAGGTAGTCTCAGTTTTAAAATTAAAGTTTAAAACAGCTAACACTTCAAAACAATAGTTGTATCACTGTAAACACTTAATTCTGTCTTTAGCAGAAGTAAAATTTTCCACTTTACACCTTCTTTTACTTCACTACTTACAGTGCACTTTCCATATCTGCTATATTTTCTTCCATTTTCTGAAACCACATAGAGGTAAATAAAGTTGTCATGAGATCCTACAGCCAGAAAGGTACCATCTAGAATGAAACAGGAGAAAGTGTTTACTAGAGGAAGAAGTCTAGAAATTTACTTTTACTTTAGTAGACCTATATTAAGTGTTTGCAAACTTAACGATTGGTAATTTAACTGTTATTTGGCATTTTACAAACGAATATGATATCACTCAGGATACATGAAAACCAAACAGCCCAATGGAGCTTTCCTTGGAGATGCTCACAGGCCATTAACTCTTCTTTCATCATAGTTAGCTAAAAGCTGGTCTTAGATGGTTACACCCACCCTCCCCACCTCCCCTTGGCAAGCTGGATGCATAGCTGCTTAGCTCATTGAGCACAAATGATCTCAGTTATTGTGTAGGCTCTTTTGGGAAAGGACTAGGTTATCTTTTGCAGTTTCTTCCACTAACACTGTGCTAATATGTATGTGAAAAATGGCCAAGAAAATCCACTGATCTTTAGATTTAACTACTACTTCATAGTGGCTATTTGTTACTTCATAATTATAAAACAGATGAAGAAAAATACACCATAATATGCTGCTTTAGGATGACTAGGTTTACAGCTTGGAGCACTTTCTTTATTCAATTATTTAGTGCTTCTTCTGAAGCAACCAAGAAGCAATAGAAAAAAAAAGATCCTTTTGGTCTTAAGCCAACAACCATAAAAATGTAATTTCAAGGCTGAGGATGAGGTTCAATGGTAGAGCACTTTGCCTAGCATGTGCAAGGCCTTGGATTCAATCCCTAGAACCATAAAATCAAGACAATGCTTGGCACCAGTAGCTCATACTTGAAAGTCCTAACTACTTAGGAGGCTGAGACATAGAAAATTGGTGTTTGAAGCCAGTCTAGGCAGAAAAGTTAGTTGGAGACTCCACCTCCAAAATGCTGGGCTGGCAGTGGCTCAAGTGGCAAAACACCGTTGTTAGTAAGGCCTTGATTTTAAGCCCCATATAAGTAAAAACAAGACAAAAACTTCTTTTTTTTTTTTTTTTGGGGGGGGGGGGGGGGGTCTGGCCGTGGGCCTGAACTCTGGACCTGGGCACTGTCCCTCAGCATTTCGGCTCAAGGCTAGCGCTCTACCATTTGAGCCACAGTGCCACTTCCAGCTTTTTTTTCTGCTTATGTGGTGCGGAGGAATCGAACCCAGGGCCTCATGCAGGCAAGGCAAGTGCTCTACCACTGAGCCACCTTCTTAGCTGGACAAAAACTTCTTAAATGTAAGAAAATATCAGACTAACTCTAGGAAGGAATGGTATAAATAAAAACCATATCAATAAAAGGAAAAAGTATTTGGGAGATAACATTTTGAACAAATGATAAGGTTAAAGGTAAATGATGCTATTTTAATGAAAAATATAATTCTTATAAATGTACTGGTATTTTATCTAATTAGCAAATCAATGTGACCAAAAAACAATGTAACAGGAGTTAAAGGCCAAAATACTTGTATATTTTTAACATGATTATTTTTCTCCTTCTCCCTCCCTATTTCCCTGACTATACTAAGGGCTTTAACTCTGGGCCCGTTGTATATTTGCAGGGCAAGCGTTTGTCTTTAACTAAAAGCACAGATGGGTCTGTGCTTTTTGCTTGGGCTGGCCTTTGACTGCAATCCTACTATCTATGCTTCCTGTATAATTGAGATAATAAATACATACCATTATAACTAGCTTGTTTATATGGAAGTCTCACTAATTTTTTTGGGTTTTTTTTTTGGTCATGGGGCGCCTGGGTACTGTCCCCGAGCTCTTCAGCTCAATGTGAGAACTCTATCACTTGAGCCATAGCACCACTTCCAGTTTTTGGTGGTTAACTGGAGATAAAAGAGTCTCACGGTTTTTCCTGCCCAGGCTTTGAACCATGGTCCTCAGATCTCAGCCTTCTGAGTAGCTAGGATTACAAGTGTGAGCCACTGGTGCCCGGCTTCTCACACTAACTTTTTGCCCAGGATAGCTTCAAACCATGATCCTCCCGATTTCTGCCTCTCAACTAGCTGGGATTGCAAGTTTAAGCCATTGTAGTTGACTCTCCTTTTTCTCTCTCTTTTCCCAGTCCTAGTACTTAAACTTAGGGCATAGGCTCTGACCTTGAGCCCCTCTGTGCTCAAGGCTAGCACTACCACTTGAGCCACAGCACCACTTCTGGCTTTATGTAGTACTGAGGAATCAAACCCAGGGCTTCATGCATGCTAGGCACTCTACCACTAAGCCACTGGCTCTCTTTTTTATGGTGCAAGAGATTGGATCCAGGGCCTTAGATACAGTAGGCAAGCACTCTACCACTGAGCTACATACATCCCTACTCCTTACACATTCTCTCTTTTTGGTGGTACCACAGTTTTAACTTGAGGGCTCATGCTTGCTAAGCAGGTACTCTACTATGGAGCCAAACATCTAGTCCTTTTTTTTTTTTGGGTCCGGTCGTGGGGCCTGAACTCTGGGCCTAGCTGCTTTCCCTCAGCTCTTCAGCTCAAGGCTAGTGCTCTACCACTTGAGCCACAATGCCACTTCCAGCTTTTTTCTTTTTACTTACGTGGTGCTGAGGAATCGAACCCAGGGCCTCAAGCATGCAAGGCAAGTGTTCTACCACTGAGCCACCTTCCCAGCCCACATCTAGTCCTTTTTTGTGCTGGTTATTTTTTAGAAAGGATTTCATTATTTAGCCTGAACTACAAACCATCTTTTAGACTTCCAGTAATGGCTGGAATGATAAGGGAAAAGTAGCATGACCAGCTACTGGTTAAGATCCTAAATATGTATAATCCTATGGTGGGAGGGCGATACTGATTGAAATTTATTTTGTTTTCAACTGGCAAATGCTGTTGTAATAATTCATTCTAAAATAATGTCTGATGACTTTGGATGTTGTTTAACTTCAGCCTATCTTTTTGTTTCCAGCAATTAACCTGATGTCCAGAGAAATACATTTTCAATACTGTACAACTCTAGAGAGTGAAGAAAAAAGGAATCTACTTCATTAGTGAAGAAAAAAGGAATCTACTTCATTAGAAATGAAAATACACAATTACAGTAAAGTGCTGTGAGTACCAGGCTGGCGGGGAGTAAATTTGCCTACCTATTGAGTATCGCATCACGGAGAGCTGCTCATTTCCATCCGTGTGGATAGAAACTAGATCTCTGGTTTCTGCATCCAGAACAAACCACCTGTTAAGAAGTAAGAAAATCTTCAGATTCCAACATTAATAGAAAAAAAAAAAGGCTGCTGACCTTTTGTCCATTTTTAAGAAATTCCACTGGGAAAGTGAGGGAAAGGGTGACACTGTTCAGAAAGAAATGCACTCTTTACCTGACAATGTAACTGTAACCCCTCCGTACACCACCTTTATGATAACAATAAATACATGAAAAAAAATTTCAACAATAATCTTTTTTTCTTATTTTAAATTTTGTGCTTGTCCTGGAGCTTGAACTCAGGGCAGAGGCATTGACTGTATCTGAGCTTTTGTGCTCAAGGCTGGTGCTCTACTATTTGAGCCACAGCTCCACTACAAGCTTCTTTTTGGTAATTAACTGAAGATGAGTCTCCTGAATTTTCCTGCCAGGCTGGCTTTCAACTGCAATTCTCAGATCTCGGCCTCCTGAGTAGATAGGATTAAAGGCTTGAGCCACCACCCAGCTAACAATTGTATTTTAAGTACAATATGTTTCTTCCAAGGAAGGATGAATTAATTTTGTAAAATGCCACTAGTTACAGTATAAATGAACAGTGAGAATCTATTCCTGTTCTCATTTCAACTTGGTATTCACTAAATGCCAACTGTCTTTCTGTAAGGTATTGTTTAAATAGAAAAATAAGACCAAGAGTGATAGAGGAATGAGATTGTGGAAATGTAACAGTGAAACCCCCACCTGTATAATGTAATAATTTTTTTTTAAAAAAGGGCTTAAAGCTGGGAGTCAGTGGCACACTCCTGTAATCCTACTCAGGAGAATGAGATTTGAGAATTATGGTTCAAAACCATCCTATACGACATTCTAGAGACTCATCTCCAGCAAAAAACCAGACGTGGAGGTCTGGCTCAAGAGAATAAGTATAGTATTAGCCTTGAGCAAAAAAGCTGAGCAAGAGCTTAGTCTGGGACTTCAAGCTCTAGTGGGCCTTGTAGCAGATCCCCAGGGAGGAGAGGGGGAAGGCTTAAGAGAAAAAATAAGACAACAGGGACGGTATTCTTGAAGATTATACCAGAGGTTGGAAAAAGGAAATGAGCCAAGTTAAAAAAAAAAATGATTAGTCATCTCAGTGTCACTAAGTATTGTAGAGCATAGGAAAATCTTCAGAGAAGATGTAGGATATGGGTAGGAGTGACAGCTCTATAGTTTTCCGTAGAGCAGGGAGGTAGATGAAGGTGCCAGAGAATAGCAGTACTCCAACAACCATATACAAATACATGAAAGCTCCATAGTCTCTGGTAACTTTTCATTTATACTCATAGGAAAAGTAAAAAATGCAAACGTGTTCTAGAGGCAAAAATGATTTAAATCAAATTTATGTTATAAATAACTATCTTCAGAGCTTTTTCAAAGAGCACTTTAAAGAAAGGATAGATGCTTCAAAAGATCACGGCAGCCGGGCACTGGTGGCTCAAGCCTGTAACCCCAGCTACTCAGGTGGCTGAGATCTGAGGATCACAGTTCAAAGCCAGCCAGGGCAGGAAAAACCGTGAGACCCCCTTTCTCCAATAAACCACCAGAAAACCAGAAGTGGCACTGTAGCTCAAGTAGTAGAGTGCTCGCCTTGAGCTTAAGAGCTGAGGGACAACGCCTAGGCCCAGAGTTCAAGCCCATGACTGACAAAAAATAAAAATAAAGAAAAGATCACAGCAAAGATGAACACTAAAGATAGACAACTGATGGTTGCACACGTGAGCAAAAAGCAGGTTACAGACAGCATGCCTACCTAGTGGGAAAGAAATTAAAATTGAACATTACCTACATCATAGTAGGTATTATATGCGTAGAAAGGATAAACAAATTGGTATACTGGAGTTTGAGGTCAAAGACTTACACTTGCTAATTTATAATTAGCCTTGAACATGACAAAAGCCAAGTTTTGAAGCATTGTGACTAGTATTTCGAAAAAGGCAACTTCTCCCTTATTAAATTAATTAAACCTAGAGCCTTGAATATGCTAGGAAAGCACTCTACTACTGAGCTAATCCCCACTATTTAGAAGACTAGGAAGAACTTGAAAGAATTAAAAAAGCTTAGTGATGCTGGTGAGCATGCCTTAATGATTTCAAGATAGAAGATTTAAAAACTACATGATCCCTACTCTTTACCCATCAATAGAATCCTTTCTAAAATACATTCACAAGTACATTTCAGTAAGTTTTTGAGCTACAGACTCAAACTTTTAAGCAGTTAACGTAATCCGTACATCTTATCATCTACTCAGCTAAGAAAAATAGCCTCTATGCATGAGGCTATGCATTTGTTTAAAGGCCAATCAGTTGTAAACTTGTACTTTGAAACCATATGCTACATGTTTTCTGATCATTTCAACTTGTCAAAAGGGGCATAAGAAACATACTTCATTGCAACTGGACAACACCCACAGATTATCAGTTTCTTCTAAAAAGGTTAGTGCTTGAATCAAGTTTTATGGCTGGCCATGTAAAATTCCTCTGTGCCAAGAAATGCCAAGGCAGATATGAAGTGACTATCTTTTCAGAAAGGGAACCTAATAATATTCCAACTAAAATAACATACACACTAAATAATCATTAGAAAAAAAGGCACTCTATCAGGCTTCTAATTTTTGATGGGTATATGGACATTTTATCATATTCTCTTAAGCATTTAAAAGTTACTATTTTGGAAAAGTCCCAACTGATACTGCTTTAAGCCCATTTCCAGTCTTCCTAGGAGAAGTGCATCTATTTAATTGTTTTAGAAACTCCCTTTGAGAATAGTAAAACCTCAGAGTACCTGTTGGTATATGTGTAGAAACCTATTCATTGAATAGAGATAGCAGTTATGAAGAAAGGGGGAAAAAGGCAAGTATCTGACTAATCCTAGCTAACTAGGAGGCTGAGATCTGAGGACTGAGGTTTAAAGTCAGCCTGGTCAGACAATCTGCAAGACTCTAATTCCAATTAACCAGCAAAAAGCTAAAAGTGGAAATACTGCTCAAGTGGTATGATGAGTGGAAAATGCCAAGTGAGAGTATGAGGCCCAGAGTTCAAGTCCCAAAACTGGCACAAAAAGTAAATTCCAAAACAGGAATAAAAGCCTAACTCAAGCATCTTATTTTCCAATTAGAACACTGATATCCCGAAGAGTCCTCAACCAATAAATTAGTGGTCGAACTAAGGCAGAGCTTTTGGCCTTTGTGTTTTTCAGCATTTCATACTGGAGATGAGTAATATCGTGAAAAGGTCTCTTTATATTTTCATATTCACTAACATTTAGGGATCCTGAGAAGAAAGACAACCAGCAAGAGTCTGGAGTTCATTGGGAAAACAGAATGAACTCCCAATATGGTAAACAGTTAAAAGTACCATGGGTAGGATGAGGAAGGTGGTTCATGGGTAGACTGCTTGCCTTGCATGCATGAGGCCCTGGGTTCGATACCTTAGCACCACATAAGCAAAAAGAAAAAAGCCGGAAGTGGCGCTGTGGCTCAAGTGGTAGAGTGCTAGCCTTGAGCTGAAGAGCTGAGGGACAGCGCCCAGGCCCAGAGTTCAGGCCCCACGACCGGACCGCGCCCCCCCCCCCCCCCCCCCCCCCCCCGCAAGAAGCTGTGTGCTAGTGGCTCATGCCTACAATCCTGGTTACAGACTCAAGAATCACAGTTAAAAGCTAACTGGGGCAGGAAAAACTGTGATACTCTTCCCTCTCACTATCAAAAAGCCAGAAAGACAGAGTACTAGCCTTGAGCAAAAAAAGCTAAGGAACAGTATCAGGCCCTGAGTTCGAGTCCCCCCCCCCCCCCCCCCCCCGCCGCCCCAAGAACCTTATAAAAATGGCTGGAATGAATATATTTAGTGTATCTAGTTGTAGTGGTTAAGAGGAAGTTTTGGGGTGTTGGGGTTTTTTTAAAAAAATTTTTTGGGGTCCGGTCGTGAGGCCTGAACTCTGGGCCTGCGTGCTATCCCTCAGCTCTTCAGCTCAAGGCTAGCGCTCTACCACTTGAGCCACAGCGCCACTTCTGGCTTTTTTCTTTTTGCTTATGTGGTGCTGAGGAATCGAACCCAGGGCCTCAGGCATGCAAGGCAAGCGCTCTACCACTGAGCCACCTTCCCAGCCCCTTGTATTTTTTTTTTTTTAAGACTCACACTGTCCAAGAAACATCGTACTTATAACCTGACTTACAGAATTGTAACCACTCTGTACAACTACTAAAATAACAACAAACAAAATAAAAGAAAGGATCCCAACTATGTAGTCTAGGATGGCCTCAAAATTTCCATCTTCCTACCTCAGCCTTCTGAGTGCTAGAATTATAGTCATGTGCCACCACTTCCATTTAGAGAAAGAGATTTAAAGGCTAGGCTAAAGTTTGGATTCCACTGTTGAGGTACCAAGAAGCCTTCAGGGAATGTTCTAGTACTCAAATATGGTATGCTTAGAGTTTCCTACATTTTCTTCATCTATTCCCCCTGTTTGATATGTGGCCCCTTTTTTTCCTTGCCTTTTCAGGATCCAAGTTTTCCATCAAAGCCTGATCCCACCTCTGAGATGTTTTCTCTGATTACTCAGACTCACAAGTAATTTCTGCTGGTCTCTAAGAATTAGTGCCTATTTATTTTAAGTAACATTAATCTATTAACCTGAGATGTTTTGTGCTTTTCTGTAGGTTATAATCTAAATAGGTTATGATTTACTTTCTTTGTAATATTTGTTGTACCAGGTATAGTGCTTTGCAAATAGAAGAATAGAAGAGGAGTTCAAGTAAGTCAGAGCCTAGAGAGATTCATGTTAGTGACATTCAAAAATATTTTGCAGTTGGGTACCAGTGGCTCACATCTGTGATCCTTTCTACTCAGAAGACTAAGATCTGTGGATCTTGGTTCAAAGGCAGCCTGGGCAGGAAATGTCTGTGAGACTGTTATTGCCAATTAGTCACCAAATAGCTGGAAGTGGAGCTATGACTGAAGTGTTAGAGAGTTGGTAGAGTCCTAGTCTTGAGCACAAAAGCTCAGGGAAGGCAAACAGGCCCTGAGGTCAAGCCCCAGAACCAATCAACCCTCCCTAGCCCAAACACACACTCACTCACTCATGAACTTGAGTACCCATAGGCTATAGCCAACCAGGCCCTGAGTGTGAGCGAGCAAGTAAGCGAGCAAGCAAGCAAGCAATACACACACTCACTCATAAACGAGTATACACGGGCTACAGCGACCAGGCCGAGTTTAAGCCCCAGAACCACCCCCCCCCCCCCCACACACCACCAAATTACATAGGAAACATAAAGGAGAAAGTCTTAGCTGTTGTTAATATATCATGACATCTTCTTTTAAAAAAACTAAAAGGACATTTATTAGGCTTGGAACCTTTGATATCTGGGCTAGAATTTGGTACAGTATCAACTCATCATTATTTTGCCCACAGCTGTAGCTGCTTCCAAAACTAATGAGTTGAAAGGAATTACTAACAACTCTCCAGGTCTAGGATTCTGTGATTCCAAGTCAAAATTTAAGTTAAGTTTTTTATTTACCTACTCACTAGGCTTGTTTTTTCCCAGTTTGTTTCCCTGTCAAAGCTACCATTATCACTGCAGCACAGAAACTGTGGGGTCTTCCTTAAGGTTACATTTCTAGCCTTGTATGTATTCATTCCTATACATTATATGGAGTATGTTCTATATCCTGGACTAATTCTTTGAAACATTTTTCAGCCATAACTTTTGTTTCCCCCTAAATCCCTTTATATTTAAACCCACCGGAATTCTAAGTATCTCACCTCCACTTAACAGTCTGTGGCAAAAATTCTTGTATGGTGGTCTGCCAATAGGACTGGTGTGGTCAAGATCCAAATAAGTACTATGTAAACTACTTGAAGAATTTTGTCTGAGCAGATACAAATCTGACATTTGGATGAGATAGTAATGTACACCTTCTACTAAATTCAGGACTTTTCAGTTGCTAGTCAGGCTAGTTGAGCCATGCCCCTAGTCCTTTGTTTACTTTTGAGTAGGGCATGGCCAGTTATGATTAGGCTGTGATTCTTGTTTATGCTTCCCATGATAGGTGTTTACCACACATGTTTTTATTGGCTAAGATGGGCTCTTGTGTACTTTTTGCCCAAGCTGGTCTTGAACCATGATCCTCCCAATTTCAGTTTCCAAACTAGGATTCTACATGTGAACCACCTGGCATGAAAGTGGAATTTTGAGAAACTAGATTAAAAAAGCAAAAAGGAGCCAGGTGCCAATGGCTCACACCTGAATTCTAGCTACTCTAGAGGACGAGATCTGAGGACTGCAGTTCAAAGCCAGCCTGGGCAAGAAAAGTCTTTGAGATTCATCTCCACTAAACTACTAAAAAGCCAGAAGTGGAGCTGTGACTCAAATGTGAGTGCTGGCCTTGAGCACAAAAAGTTCAGGGACAGCAACCATACTCTAAGTTCAAGCCCTAGGACCAGCACACACATACAAAAAACAAAACAAAAGGCAGAAACAGGATAACTGAAGTCTTGGAAAGATCAAACTGAATGTTTTCGATCAGTACAGAAAATGATATAGTTTCAAATGCATTGTGAGCTTTATGAAGAAAATTTTGTAAAAAATAAAAAAAATGTTGCATATGAAAATCTAGGTGGGGCCTGGGAAGGAGGCTCAGTGGTAGAGCGCCTGCCTTGCATGCATGAGGCCCTGTGTTCGATTCCTCAGCACCACATAAGCAAAAAAAAGAAAAAAGCCAGAAGTGGCGCTGTGGCTCAAGTGGTAGAGTGCTAGCCTTGAGCTGAACAGCTGAGGGACAGCATCCAGGCCCAGAGTTCAGGCCCCCACGACCTGACACCCCTCCCCCCCACCGCAAAAAAGAAAAATCTAGAGTAGTACATCAAGTGAAATTAATTTAAAGGATTATAATGACTGATTCAAATAAATATGAGATTTTGATATCAATCATTGAATGATCAATCATTCCTAGTGTATCTTAATATTTATCAATTTGCATGGTTTTAAACCATTTTAACTTTGGAGATACCAGCCTTACTAAAGATCTTAGGGCCAGTATTATTCTAATATCAAAACAAGACAAACAATCATAAAAAAACTAAAGACCAATATTGTTCATGAATAGGTGCAACAAAATATGAACAAAGCTGAGTCCAATAACAAATAAGAGATTTTACACTATGACCATTTGTGTTTCATCCCAGGATTTTATTAGATTGATTTAATGTCTTTGTAACATGCAATGTAGTAAGGGTTAAGACCAATAAATCATCTCAATGAACCAGACAAGGCATTTGATAGAATCCAACATCATTTCATATTTAAACATGCTCACAGAGAGAAGAAAGCTTTTTTTAACACAACAAAGGGCATTTATGAAAGACTATCAATCAAGATGATACTCCATGGTAAAAGAATGGTTCTCCCTTATTTACAGATTTACCACATATGATTTTGACCAACCTTGGTAAAAAAAATATTTTTTAAAAGCAAAAGAAATATCAAAATAAAATATTCTGTTTACTCATTACTGAGCTCAGTTGATATGGACAAACTCAACTAGGCGCTGTCTGTCCCAGACCTCTTTTTTTGCTCAAGGCTAGCACTCTACCACTCTGAGCCACCAGAGTCCACTTCTGGTTTTCTAGTAGTTGGAGATGGAATCACAGACTTTCCTGACCAGGCTGGCTTTGAACCATCACCCTCAGATCTCAGCTTCCTACAAAACTAGGATTACAGGCATGAAATACCAGTTTGCTTTTTGGGAGACATTTTTACAAAACTGAGGGCAGTCAAACAGCAGATCACACAAAGGTTTAAATACAACAGTTTTGTAAAAATCCGCCTCCCCAAAATCAAACTGGTGTTCAAAAACCAAAGTAAAAATTAATATGCTTAATTCAAGTGCTAAAGGGTAAACTGTAGAGTTAACAAAAGGTGGGATGTCTTTAGCAGAAGCTGGGTGGCATTATTGAAAAAATGAATCAAGTATCCACAATATTCAGGATAAAGAACATGAAATAAGATCAAGTTTTTGGTAAGCAGTATTAATGTGTACAAAAGTATTTTTTGCTACAATTCACAGGTTGTTAAAGACTTGTTTTCCTATAATTCTGATTTGAGAATAAATTTGCATGTTTTCATATCCAAATATGTAAACTGGCATCCAAAAAGCCAATAAGAAAAGTTGCTATTTTTGAATTTTAAAAACAAAACAAAAAGCTAGTAAGACTTTTTTTTTTTTTTTTCTCCAATTCTGAGGATCAAATTTTTTTTTGGGTCCGGTCGTGGGGCCTGAACTCTGGGCCTGGGCACTGTCCCTCAGCTCTTCAGCTCAAGGCTAACGCTCTGCCACTGAGCCACCTTCCCAGCCCCTCAAATCAGGAGATCTTATATATGGTAGGCAAGCATTCTGTCACTGGGCTACATCCTTAGCCTGCTTAAAAAAAAAAACAAAAAACTCTAGAAAACCAAATTTGATTAGACAATAAACATATGTTACTTAATGACCTTGGAAAGGTACCAAATAGGTCTGCACGACAGGTTATTAATGACTTTAGGAAATATGCCTTTATTATGTATCTGTGTAGCATTCAAGAGGATGGGCTAGAAAAAACTACAATACAAATAATTCATAAAAGTTCAACTCGGTTCTATCAACTTCAATTCTTTTCCTGCACAAAAGATAATAAAGAGAAAAATCTTCTGATATTTCTAAAGAGAATCACAAAGAAGAATGAAGTCTGCCTACTCTGCTTATCATTTTTCAATTGTAATGTCTCCATCTCTACTTATTTGTCTTCCCTCTTCTATAGATCTTAAAATTTCATAACACAATTAATTACCTTAAAAAACTGCTTCCATTCTCAACACACATAAAAATGAAGGATCCACAGGGGCAAAAATTTTTTTGTTTTTGTATGTCACATGAATATTCACAATTGTATGTATTAAATGACAGGTGCTCAGTAAAGAATGAATTAAATACATATAACTGATAAAAGCAACAAACTCATTAAATGTGTCACGTAATAGTTATTCTCTAGATCAGATTAAGTAACAGTTTAAATATCCCACCATTTCAGATTACTCAGCTCATTCAAAGATCCTACCTGCCTGAGTGCGTTCCTATGGCCACCACTGTGCCACTAGGATGAAAATCTGCACAGTGTCCTGGTTCCTAAAACAGAGACAGAGAGCTGTTGGGCTGTACATGAGCAAGTCTCTCTAGATCTACAGGAACAGTGGAAACACAATTTTGATAATAACTGATTTCATATAAACATGGAATTCTGATCACATTTATTGCAATCAAAGAGAAATCACACATGGATTCAGAGGATAAATAATTTGAGAAACTGAAGGGGACATGCTGGCAGAATGGTGGTAGTAAAGGATAGCCAGCTTGTGGCCAGGCAGCAGAATAACAAGGATAGTCCACATTTGTATAGTTTTTTAAGAGTATGCAAAGAACCTGTATACACCTTTTAGGCTAGAAAGGTACATATGTGGGTAGGAGAGGGCAGGGAGAAAACAGTGAGAGATCAATCAAAAAGAAGAGAGTCTGTTAGTGAGCAGCACTTACTGAATCCAACTTCAATACCACGAGAGGTCCATAACAACCTAAGCCTGATAAATATTTTAAATCTTTATGCTTTTTATACTGAAACTCACAAAGCATTAAACTTTTGTTTTGCCAACTTGTTTCTTTAAAGTGAGCTCATGTTATACCTTGAACTCATTTCATACTAAGCCTAATTATCCTCACTGTTTCACCAAACCATAAAAAATTTGGTTTAAGACAATTCTTGGTTCTTTGCTGTTTCTGACTACAACAGGAATTTTGGTGGGGAAATTATTAAACATATCTTGCTTCACTCACATCTACAAGCCTGGTCCATTCCAACTTGTGTTCTGCTGAGTTCCACATGCACACCTGCCTGTCCTGAGCACATGTCAAGAGCAAATCTTTAAAGGGATGTGTGGCAAGACCCCAAAGTTCATCTGTATGACCCTAAAAATGAAATATATCATTGGTGTAAGAATCAAACAGTATTACCAAAATTATTCTGTTAATCATTGACATCAGATAGCTTACCTGTACTTCTATTTGGAAACCATCATTAAATGTTGCCCTCAAAATAAAGTTTCGTGATGTGCCTACTAAAAATTGATCTGCTTTTCCTTCTGCAACAGCTCTAATTGTGCCATACTGATCAGGAACCTGGAAAAAATAAATTTGTCAAGTTACTAATATGTATCAATGACTACCTGAACACTGGCTGCATTTCAGCAGTTATGGGGTAATAAATGGAAGAATTCTAAAATCTGAACATTATATGGTAGGTGTATATTACAACTACATTTCATTATACATAAGTTGTAATTATAACCAGCATTCTTTGAATAATCATTGTTTTTTTTTTACAGTACTAAGAATAGAATCTAAGGTTTCCCATATGCTAGGCAAGCACTCAGACACTGAGCTACATCCCTAGCTTCTTTTTCTTTCTTTGTCAGTACCAGAATTTGAACTCAGGGCATCACGCTTGCTTTGCTTGCTCAGCTGGTGCTCTACTACTTAAGCCACGTATCCAGCTAGGCTTCTTGCTGGTTATTTTGGAGATGAAGTATCATGAACTTTTAAGCTTCGAACCTTGATTTTCCAGATCTCAGCTTCCTGAATTAGGATTAAAGACATTAACCATCAGTGTCTAGCTCCCAGTTCACTGCTGTTAGTTTCAAATTTACATTTTAGATAATTTCAAGAGCTACAGGCTAAAAGTAAGGAAGAAGAGTAAGTTTTATTAGAGCACATAAAAAATGTGATTTGATTTTGTTACTGATGTTCTTTAAGTAACTCAGACTAGAAAAGTATTCTTTATCTGTAACATGGGTAATAAGGTATGGCCTATCTTGATTGCTATAAAGACCCAGATATAAAAATAACACTTGTAAAATTTCTTTGTAAACTGAAAACAACACACAGATGGCCTTCTTTATTTGTGGGGACTGTATTTATTTCAACACACAGTTGAGTGTATACCTATATTGTATACTGAAAATATAGGAGGAAAAAAAAATCCCTTGTCTATACTGTATATATAAGACTTGTTTCCTTGTCCTAAAAAATAAAGCATAAAAACTCTTTATCAAGCATTTACATTTCTATTGGATACTGTATATAATGCACAGATGATTTAAGTACATGAGGTTGTACAGTTTATAAGCAATTAGTAGACCACTTTAAGTAAGAAACTTGAGCATAGAAACTTTTATATCCATTATGGGGGAGAAAATATTATGGAACTAATTCCCTGCAGACATCTTAATGTAATATATTCTAACACCGATCATAAATTCAAATTTCAAATGAACAAAATTTAGGAGTAAACTGTGCAGTATGTTCTTCAAGAATTGTTGACAAAATACTACTCTCTCTCTTTTTGGTCATTTGTAGGAGTTGAATATAGGGCCTGGGTACCCATGAGCTTTTCTGCTCAAGGTTAGCATTCTACCACCTGAGCCATAGTTCTGGCTTTCTGGTAGTTAACTGGAGATAAAAGTCTCATGGACTTTCTGGCTTTGAACCACGATCCTCAGATCTCAGCCTGAGCAGTTAGGATTATAGGTATGAGCCACCAGCATTCAGCTTAATACTTAATCATTTTATTTTCTGAGACTTCCTATTACTTAGCAAATTTTCACTAAGCTTATTGTACCTGTTCAGATCATGAAGTCAATGCAATGCAGATAATCAGTTCTCATTAAGCCTACTGTTTAAAGATTACTTTCAAGATCTAAAATTAAATCCATCACTTAGTATACACTGGGACTTAGATACAATATTCAATGCCTTGTTTGCTGAATTTTAAAGTTAAGTGGTTATATTTTTAAGTCATTAGAAAAGGCTTTAGCATGTAAAACAAGCAAATTAATCAGTCTGCCTTACTGTTTTTCTTTTATTCTTTCAACTTATTTTACTTAAAAACCAACTATTTAGTACAATAACAAACTTTTCTACGGAGAGGAAATGAAACAAAAACATGTTTCAGCTTTTAGAAAAGTGTACGTTATTGTAACATGAGTGCAGAGGCTTTAATGGTTTTAAGCCTTACCTCTATTTCTCTTTCAGGATTCAGATCATGATCCCATAAAATTATTTTTCTGTCTTTTCCTCCTCCAGTTAATAACATCCCATTCCTCATCTGACAAAGTGTGAACACACTGCCATCATGAGCTTTGATTTGTTTGCTGATTTGGTAGACACCTAAGATGATGAGAAGATAAATGAAAACACTAATGTAACACTTTTCATCACACTTTAGTGTCTTTGTGGAAGAAAGCTGTGGCAGAACTTCAAAGTGAATACTTAAAAAATTAATGACTGAATAACAAAAACCTATTCTTGGCAAGCTTTCTGTAAAGATAGGTATAAAGAATATAAATATTTTGCATTTATGTCAATTTTATTTATTCTGTAAATATTTTACAAAATCTTACAAATAAGTAAGCTAAAGTAGTGATTAACTGCATAGACAACAGGGTAAAAATATGTCTTAACCCAAGAGCTTCATGCACTGCCATCGTTGTTTGATTACTGTTCTGATTGTAGAACAGCAGAGGTACAGTAATGGCATTCCACAGCAAGCTAGTACTGTGACCAAACTTCAAGGTTCCTATCAGTGTACCTGAAACTGCACAAACATTTGGCTTCCTACTGAGGAAACAGTCATAGCATTTAATACTCATTGCTGACCTGAAAAGTTACCTTTTTTTTCTGCTGAGATATAAAGGACTGGAAGAAATACTGGGGCAAAGATGGGCACTGAATGCTTGAGTAGTGGCTGGTAACACTAAGAAGTTCCATATTTTAAATACAACCTGGCTAGGTGCCAGTGGCTCGTGTCTGTAATCCTAGCTACTCAGGAGTCTGAGATCTAAGGATCACAGTTCAAAATCAACTGGGGAAGGAAAAGTATATGAAACTCTCATCTTCAATTAACCACCAAAAACCTAGAAGTGGAACTATGGCTCAAGTGGTAGATCACTAGCCTTGAGCAAAAAAGCTCAGGAATAGAACCCATACATTAGGTTAAGCTCTGTGATCTTTAGGTCTCAGCCTCCTGGATAGCTAGGATTATAGGCATGAGCCACTGGTGCCCAGCACAACCCAGGTTTTTTCCAACCCCATGACCCTCCTGCATCAGTTGGGTAACAAGTGTGTATCAGGCACTATGCCTAGCTTTCACATTCCCTTTCCTTAAGGTTGGGATGAAATTACACTATCCAGATCTTTTTCTTTGGTATTCATGTTTATCCAGAGAAGATTTTAGAGTTAAAAGGAAAGCCTCCTGGAAGATGCTACTATACAAAATTACCAGATTTGAAAAGGAAGGTAGAACCTTGCCTAAATACAGCCAAAGTCATTCAATAAATCTTTAGGTTCCTTAAAAAAAAAAGTTGCTGCGAGCTGGTGGCTCACACCTGTAATCCTAGTTACTCAGAAGACTGAGATCTGAGGATCACAGTTCAAAGCCAGCCCAGGCAATTAAGTCTCAGAGACTCTCCAATAAACCACCAGAAAACCAAAAGTGGTGCTGTGATTCAAGTGGTAGAGCACTAGCCTTGACCAACAACAACAAAAAAAGTTTAGAAACCATTCATTTTCTAAAAAAGAGAAAGAAGACGATGAAAAAAGAGGAAAAGGAAGGTGAGGGAGCAAAAAAAAGAAAACATAACTACAGCTGACTATAAACTAGAATGCTTAATAGATGGGTAGATTTTGCAGGGGAGTGAGAAGAAAGTTTGTCTGATGCAGCTAAGCTGGAAGACAACTTCCAAAAAAACCCCACTGTTAGGTCAATTGCCTCCATTTACATCAACATTCATCATCTAAAAATACTTTGAACAATACCAAGTGTTTGGTAGGATAGCCACACAATTAATTATCACTATCCTGACTTTATTTACGTACCCAAGAAGAAAGAGTAACTGAGAGAAACGACATTCTGAGAGTATTGCTGGCTTTATTTAGGTTTGTAACTAAAGGGAAATACAAAGCAAATTTTAGGCCTTATCCCTCTATACTGGTCAAAGTAATGAGTAGTCTGAAACAAAAAGCAGGTGTGGAGTTTCATAGTTCTCCAGGAAAATAAAGTAAAATAAAGTTTTTCTGTGGTTAATTTAACCTTCCACTCTTCTAAACACGTCAAAAAACCTTTATGGCCCTGTTAGAATGATGGACTGTTAGAAAATAAAACTGAAGAACAAATGCTCATCAGGAATAAGAATGTACTGTATGAACTCATATTCCCATCCTCCTCCTTTCATCCTTGCAGTTACTACCTGAGGAAACCCAAACATTAATTTAGCTTTAAAAAAAGATTCTTTATACAGTATTTACCTATAAAACAAGTTTATAGCCAAAGACTTTCTTCTCCCGCCCATCCCTGGGTCATGGGGCTTGAAATGGGTGCTGGCCCTGAGTTTTTATTGCTAGTGCTCTACTACTTTGAGCCACAGTGCCACTTCCAGTTTCGTGATGGTTAACTGGAAATAAGAACTTAATGGTCTTGCCTACCCCAGCTGGCTTTGAACTGTGACTCTCAGATCTCAGACTCTTGAGTAGCTAGGATTATTAGCGGAAGCCACTGGTACCCAGCTAAAGATTGTTTGCTTTTGGCCTACATTTCTGACATTCCAGTTTGAGCCAAATAATATTTGAGATACTTGCCATGAAAAAGAATTATCTCTAAGTTAAAAAATCCTACTATATTTCCAGGCTTAATCACATGGACAAATCTTTCCTTTCTTGTCTTTTTTTCCCCCCCTTAAAAAGCAAGTTTATCTTGCCAGATAAATGAAGATGCTTGGAGGGCTTTCTGTGCCTGCCTAAATATCTAATCAAATGTTAGGAAGATACTGCAATTTAGGTTGTACTCATCAACTGGCCCATTCTGATTATTTGATGAGCAGATAAAATGGATGTTTCTTAGTACCTTAGAGAAATCTGACAAAGATTTAAGAACAATGAACATTTTAACAGTGCTGTAGCTACCCCATTTATAAGATTATTTCAGGTACGGACAGATTTAAAACCATTTCATGTACATAGGAAATAAATACTTTTACCACTTCATAAATAGTATTAGGTGGAGATAGGGGGATTGTGATTCAAGGCCGGCGTAGGCTGGCCTTTGTGAGACTCCATTTCAACCAATAATGGGTACAGTGGTGCACACTTGTCATTTAGTCAGTAAGAAAGCATAATGGCTTTCTCTGCCACTTGCAGTGACAAGGGCCTCTCATCACAGCTATGCTGAGAAGCATAGATAGGAGTTCAGCCTGGGCCTACGAATGAAATGAGACTCTCTCCTAAAAAAACTAACAGCAAAAACAGTTGAAATGATTCATGACACAACATCTGCCTACCTAGACCTGAGTTCAAACCCTAATAGCACTAGTACAACACTTGCATTTTTTTGTCACTGCATTCATTAAATTCTAAGTCCTAGAGAAATGAAAACCCCTAAGCCATAGAAACACAAGTTCCTAATAACAATAGCTACAACATAAGAATTAATTTCAATGTGCTCTGAAATATAGAAGGCTGGGTTTCCTGTTTGGACATATGCAGACTTTTTCTGCATATAGAGTAAGCTACAAGTTTTTCAGTAAAAAACTAAAACAGATACCTCAGAACCTCTCCCTGATCCCCATTTCTCAGCACATTAATCAAGGGTATTAGCACAAATCAAGGGTATATTACACTCAAACTTTGCTCAGTGTTGGAGACTATGTCAAGAAATAAAGTTACTATTTTCATATATCATGCTGTTTCTGACATTTCTGATACCGAACAAATAAATGTGCTTAGAAAGAAAAAAGAGTAATTAAGTGAGAAAGGCAGTTTAACTGCTTTAACTTTCTAATGACCTTTTGTTCCCTTTGCCATCCTTTTGATTTATATGGATTTTAAACCCAAAAAAAGTCGATAATCATCAATACAATTTTTTTGGGGGGGAGGGGGGTCCTGGTCATGGGGCCTGAACTCTGGGCCTGGGCACTGCCCCTCAGCTCAAGGCTAGCGCTCTACCACTTGAGCCACAGCACAACTTCTGGCTTTTTTCTTTTTGCTTATGTGGTGCTGAGGAATTGAACCCAGGGCCTCAGGCATGCAAGGCAAGCGCTCTACCACTGAGCCACCTTCCCAGCCCCTCATCAATTCCTTTTTTTTTAAACATGCAGGACCTTGCATATAGCTTCCCAAGTGGTAGGATTATAGGGTCTACATCATGTGTCTGGCTAATATTACTTTTCAATTTATTCATTTCTTTTTTCTTTTTCCTTTTTTTTTTTTTTTGGTAGGTAGTAGGGCTTGAACTCTGGGCCTGAGTGCTGACCCTCGGCTCTTCAGCTCAAGGCGAGCGATGTACCACTTTGAGCTACAGCACCACTTCTGGTTTTCTGATGGTTTATTGGAGATAGGAGTTTCACGGACTTTCCTGCCTGGGCTGGCTTTGAACCGCGATCCTCAGACCTCATTGAGTAGCTAGGATTACCGGCGTGAGCCACCGGCGCCCAGCCTCAACTTATTCATTTCTAATCAACTTAACCATGAAGCTTAGAAGTTTAGGTGAATGGATATGGAAAATATTAAAACAACTTAGTATATAATGCCTAAACACCAGTTAAAAACCCACAGAATAAGAGTTATGATGCCAAATTTAAATGCCACATTTCAGTGAAAATAGTATTTTAATAACACTCAATATTTTACTCTAATATTGACACCCAAAGGTGAGATTAATGACAAATCTGGGCTAGTAGGGCTCGTGCCTATAATCCCTGCTACTCAAGAGTAGTCTGAGACTGGGAAGAACATAGTTCATGGCCAGCCTGGGCAAAGGTTTGAGAGATCTCCATCTCATTCAAAAGTCAGGAGAGTGGTGCATGTCTGTCATCCAAGCTATGACAGGAATAAAAAAATTAGGGGGAGCCAGGTGCTGGTGCCTCACACCTGTAATTGTTGCTACTCAGAAAGCTGAGATCTAAGGATCTCAGTTTGAAGCCAACCCAAGAAGAAAAGGCCTTGTGGGACTTATCTCCAATTAACTACTCAAAAACCAGAAGTGGTGCCAGTCTCAAGTGGCAGAGCACTAGCCTTGAACACAAAGAGGCTCAGGGACAGCGCCCAGGCCCTGGTTCAAGCCCTACAAATGGAAACAAAAAAACAAAAAACGGGGATCACTGTAGTAGCTGGCCTTCCAAAAAAAAAAAGGTGAGAATTTAACTAAAAAGTAGCCACCTTGTTCAAGTGGCAGAGCTCCTAGTTAGTAAATGCTGGGCCATGAAATCAAACTCAAGTAGCCCCCTCCAAAAAAAGTTTTCAAACTGCTACTACAAATGTCATATTTTCTATTCCAGGGACAGGTTATTGGGGGAGGAGACAGGGTCTTTTTTTCTGAGCAGGATAACAAGGATTCCTTTACTCAGACTGGGGCCGATTTCCATGTTTGGATACAGAGGCTCCAAAGAGAAAGAGGTAAGGACCTGAGTGTGCTTAGGGTATGATAGGTAAACAGGGGAAAACCCAAAATGCTGCTGTGCCAATCTTCAGAATTATGTGTAAATTATTAGAGAATGAATTTAAAGGAGAAGACCTTACCTTTAGGTCCCTTCCCAGGTGTTGGCTCGACAGCAGTTTTGCTCCATATAAGGATGACTCCACCCGAGTCTCCAGTAAGAACATCTCCATTTCCCAAGAATGCTAAGCACTGCACAAATTTTGGTTTTTCATATTTCTACAATGAATAAGAATTTTCAGTTTCCCATCTGGCATGCTGATTTGATGCTCACAGAATTTAAAAAGATTAGAGTTTTATATAGTTAAGGAAGTCACAACTTTCTGATATTTACCCCAAAAATTCCCTGTTTTCTTGTTAGTGAATTACCACTCCAGGTCCAGAAAAAAATATGAGATTTGCCACATGTTATTATGGTATTTGCATCTGTTGGGTGGAACTCCACAGTCAAAACAACTTCATTTGTTGTCTATGAAAATAGAAATAAAAGTTTAGATGATAGTATATTCTTCTTGATAACAAGTACCAATTATAGCTCCTGATAATCAGAGAAATGGAACAATTTCAAGGAAATATCTTTTATCCAGGATTTATTTTCCTGAAAAATTTTTAGATTTTTAAAATAAAGATTAAAATTTGATGTTTTATTAAATTGAAAAAATAATTTTTCTCCTTTACTACTTTTACATTTTATGCACAAGTATTTTTATCTGAGTATAAATAGAAAGTAACTGTTTTATGTAAAAGTACAATAACACAAAGAAAGACCTAATTGTTATGATGAGAGTTTAAGCATCTTTGCTTAGAGGAAAAATGTATGCAGAAATCATCCTCCTTGAGGCTACAATGCTTGATAAGAAATGTACTCATTATCTTGCCCATGTAATTGTAACCCCTCTGTACAGTATTTTCACAAAAAAAAAAAAAGAATATTACAGTCAATTACCAATCCATAATACACAGTTTTTGTTCTGTGCTATCTCCTTTCCATATTATGTTCTCCAAAATTATATGTAATTGGCAATTAAATATATAAACTTTTTATCATTCCAAAAAAAAAATCATCCTCCTTTTAAAAAGATTGAGCATTTTTTTTTTTTTTGCTGGAAACTATGTAATACTGAAGCATCCATATATTTATATGCTTTAGGTCTAAAGACATTAAGTATCAGATTTGTTTTGTAATTAAGAATTTTAAAACATTCTTGTGCTATTTCAAAAGTACTCTAAAATTCGATGCTCTTATACTATATTCCCTTTAATACTATTTATTTATAAAACCTTTGAGTTTGGAAGACGTCTATGATTTATAGTTTTTGTTTTTGTTTTGCAGACCTGGGGCTTAAGCTCACTGCCTAGATACTGTCCCCAAGCTTCTTTTGCTCAAAGCTAGCACTCTACCACTTGAGCCTCAACATTACTTCCAGTTTTTTTAATGTGGTACTGTGGAATCGAACCCAGGGCTTCCTGCAGGCTAAGCAAGCATTCTACCACAAGCTACATTCCCAGCCCTAGTTGATTATTTTAATTTCTTATATATTCAGGAAAAAACCACTAGGATTATTAAACACAAGAACAATGTATATTTTCAATGTATATTTTCATAAAGCTAGAAACAGAACACAACCAGAAACAAAATATTAGAAAACAAAACTGAAGGAGGAAGGTTGAAGGGGTAACAATGATCAAGAAGCATTGTACTCATAATCTGACTTGTATAATTGAAACTATTTTGTGTAAGTTCTTAAATTTAGTCTGAAAAAATAAGCAATGAAACCAGAAATACTAGGACCAGAAATACTCGGTCCCCTTTCCAGTTACTATCCTCTAACTAACCAAAACAGCGTGTTTTTGTCTGTTTAAATGGAATTATAAACAATGTTCTTCACTTTCAGCTTGTTTTCTCAAAACTGTATTTGTAAGATCCACTCATGTAAGTGGCATGTAGCTGTAATTTGTTTAACTGATGTATAGTACTCTTTTGTATAAAAAATGTATTATTTTGGGTCTGGGAAGGTGGCTCAGTGGTAGAGCGCTTGCCTTGCATGCTCGAGGCCCTGGGTTTGATTCCTCAGCACCACATAAGGAAAAAGAAAAAAGCCAGAAGTGGTGCTGTGGCTCAAGTGGTAGAGCGCTAGCCTTGAGCTGAAGAGCTGAGGGACAGTGCCCAGGCCCAGAGTTCAGGACCCACGACCGGAACCCCCCACTAAAAATGTATTATTTTATCATTATGCTGACTAGATTAGGGTAATTTCCACTGTTTTGACTATCATAAATAGCACTGCCACTTGTCTTCTTGCAAACTTGTATGTTTTTTTTTTTCTTTTCTTTTTTTGTCAGTCATGGGGCTTGAACTTGGCCTAGATGCTGTCCCTCAGCTTTTCAGCTCAAGCTGAGCACTCTACCACTTGAGACACAGTGCCAGTTTTCTGAGTTTATTGGAGATAAGAGTCTCACGAACTTTCCTGCTTTGAACCACAATCCTCAGATCTCAGACTCCTGAGTAGCTAGGATTACAGGCATGAGCTACCACTGCCCGGCCAAATTTGTATGTTTCTATTGGGCTTATATCCATCCATGAGAGGAAAATGCTGAGTCGGTAGGTAGCTTCCTAAATGGCTACACTTACATGCACAGCAACAGTGAGAGTTCTGCGTACTCTGCATCCTCACCAACCTTCATATCTTTTTTTTTTGGTCAGTTGAGGGGCTTAAAACTGGGGCTTAGGCACTGTCCCAGAGCTCTTTTTTTTGCTCAAGGCTAGTGCTCTACCACTTTGGGTTTTCTAGTAGCTAGAGTCACAGACTTTACTGCCCAAGCTGGCTTTGAACTGCAACGCTCAGATCTCAGCCTCCTAGGAAACTAGGATTATAGCCATGAGCCACCAGTGCCTGCTTCATATATTTGTCTTTATCTCATAAGCTACTTTGGAAAGTGCATAATGGTTTTTCATTGTGGATTTAATTTGAATTTTCTTGGTAATTAATTAGGCTGAGCATTTTGCATATGCTTATTACCTGGATATATTTTGTGAAAGGTCTGAAGTTTTTCTTTACTGAAGTACTTAAGTTCTTAAAATGAGTACTTTATTGGAAATGCATATTAAAATATTTTCTCACATTTTTCAATGACTTTTGATGAAAGGAATTGTTTTAAAAAAATAAAGTTCGCACTAGAAAGCTTAGCCTGGCTCGAACTTGTGGTCCTCCTGCCTGTACCTCACAAGTGCTAGGATTTATAGCCATGCATCAACATACTTTTCATTTCCCCATTTATAGCTTTTACAGTACTTTGTCATGCTTAAGAAATCTGCTTATAAAAGTGACCTACATTTTTCTTCTAAAAGCTTTGTTTTTTGTTGTTTTTTTGTTGGTCATGGGGCTTGAACTCTGGGCCTGGGCACTGTCCCTCAGCTCTTCAGCTCAAGGCTAGAGCTCTACAACTTGAGCCACAGCACCACTTCCGGTTTTCAAGAGTCTCACAGACTTTCTTGCCTGGGCTAGCTCTGAACCTCGATCCTCAGATCTCAACCTCCTGAGTAGCTAGGATTACAAGGCGTGAGCCACTGGTGCCCAGCTAAAGCTTTTGGTCTCTTTACTCTCAGATCTATAATCTAAAACAGATTTTTGTGATTGCTATCACAAAAATATCAGTCAAGATTAATTCTTCTCTATATAGATAACCAATTAATCTAACATTACTCACAGAATAATCTTTGCTCACTGCACTAGCGTTGCTGTAAATCAAGTAACTCCCACGTGTACTGTCTATATTCACTGTTCTTTCTGCTATCATTAAGACAGTGTCTCAATTACATAACAGATCTTGATAATCTTAAATCCTCCAAGATTGTTTCTCCTTTTAATTTTGTGTACTAGATATTTCCAAAAATGTGAAGTTCATCAACTAATAAAAAACTCATGCAGGGATTTTTGACTATAGATAAGTCAAATAGAACAATACTCAAGAGAACTGAAATCTTTACCATGCTGTATTCTATACTTAATTATGCAATATTAATAGTCTTTAACTTTTGGTGGTAAAGTTTTTAAACTGTCAACTCAATTTTAAACTTACATAAGTTAAAAGTTACCTATCAGTTTTACAAATCTTCATGACTTAAAGCTAAGATACAATAAGGATAAAATAAGGTCAACAAACAGGCAGACACAAGGAGAAGAGATAGTTGAATCATCTAGCCCCTGAACCAAGTCATTTCAGATAAAACACCTTGCTAGTCTTTACTAAAGGTCTTTCTTTTTTTGTGTTGGCTAGAATTCAGCTGTCCCCAAGCTTCTTGGCTCAAGGCTAGTGTTCTACTACTTGAGCTACAGTTCCACTTCTGACTTTTTGGTGGTTAATTGGAGATAAAACCTCAAACTTTTCTGCCTTGGCTGGCAGAACTGTAATCCTCAGATCTCAGCCTCCTGAGTAGTTAAGGTTACAGGCTTACTAAAGGCTTTCTTTTCTTCCCCAAACAGAAATAAATTGTTTGGATTAAATTAATTTTATTTGCTTTGAAGTTGCCTGTTATAATTCAGACATTTAAGACAGAGTTTAGATTACTCAGATTGAAAGTGATGGGGAAGAGTCATGAGTGACACTGATTTCTAGCTTGGCTGCTAGAAGGAACACAGTTTCAATTGCTGTGAGGCAAAACTGAGCTAAGAACGTAGCAAGCAGATTAAAAATGCCAATTCTGACTTATGGCAAAAGACATGTCTATCAGTCAACTAGAAATACTGGCTTAACTGAAAAATCTGGACTAGAGGTAACAATGTGGCAACTAAGCAGATAAGGACTAATGTTATCTCCAGAAGAGGTACAAAGGAACTGTGAGCATTACTAATGGTTTATTGTCTAGAAAAGAAAGAATTGTGAACAGGAGCAAACCCATAGATTTAATCTGCTAGACTTTATTACAAAAGATCAAAAGTCCTGCACAAGCTGGGCACCGGTGGCTCAAGCCTGTAATCCTACCTACTCAGGAGGCTGAGATCTGAGGATCGAGGTTCAAAGCCAGCCTGGGCAGGAAAGTCCGTGAGATTCTTATCTCCAATAAACCACTAGAAAACTGGAAGTGGCCCTATGGCTTAAGTGGTAGAGCGCTCACCTTGCGCTGAAGAGCACAAGGACAGTGCCCAAGCTGAGTTCAAGCACCACAACCGACCAAAAAATAAAAAGAACTGCAAAAGTTCTGCACATTTCAGTGTTAAATTATTCTGAATGATGAAGTTTAGAAACTTATGGCTTCATTTATGGATTCTTTTTGTTTTTGTGAGTCAGTACCAGGGCTTGAACTCTTGCTAGGCTTTTTCCACTTAAGAGCTGGTACTATACTGCTTGAGTTCTGGCTTGGCTGGCTTCAAACCATGATCCTCAGATTTCAGCCTACAATATAGCTAGGATTATAGAAGTGAGCCACTAGCATCCAGAACATTTGTTTTTTTTTTTTTTAATTTGAGGTTTTTTGAAGATTTATATTCCTTTCAAGTACAATCAAATCTATTCCACTTGTTTCAAAAAATTAACTTATTCTTGAAATGTCTTTTTGACCAGAAGGCTGAAATCCTGAAAGTAATATAAAATAACAGAGCTAAAAGAGAGGGCAGCTATTACTTAAGGACACAATGCTATTCTGTTATCCTATCGAACTCATCAAATTCAACTGCAATGCTAACTTATATTTTTCTCTTATAAGGTATAGATTTATTTCACAGTAAGGAATCAAATCAATTCTATTACAATTATAAATGCTATAGTATTTTCCATAATAGGTCTCTATTTTATATACGCCCTTCAGTTATGTCAGCCATATTCTTAGGCTGAAATTTTCCTCTAGATGGCTAAACCTTTAAAGATTGAATAAAATCGCAAATTTGATTAAAGTCAAGTAAACTGCTTAGTCTTAATTTTGAGATTCGACAGACATTCATCTACTTTGGCATTTCAGAACATATGTCTGAAATACAGACACTGCTTTAAGTTGCTTATTTTATCTTTATAATTGTAGCATATAAAGCACAGAGTACTTAAAAATCAGGAAATTTGATGAAATTGGCCAGTGGGCTTACTCTTACACTTTAAGGATATGAAAATAACTCTAATTACCTGCCAAATAAGCAATATACTCTAGAATACACAAAACTTTCTGTTTACCTTTATTTCTGCAGTTTTTGATTTTTTCTGCCAGTCCCATACAGTAAGCATATGCTCATTGGAATCATCAATAACACACAGATGAACACCTGAATCCTGAACAAAAGTCAAAGGCATTAAAAAATTCAGTAAGATTAATATCCTAAGGAAGACATACCATGCTCTTAAAACTGTTAACAATAAAAAATTCCTTAAATTTTGTTTTTTTGAAATATAATGAAGAGACTGATAGTTGAAATTGTGGTGGGGTCTGGTCTTCCAGCAATATAGAGAATGTTTAAAGGATTCTATTTTTAGTTCCCCTTTTCCTTGGCTGATTTTCACTTACCATCTAGCTACTTATATTACTGAACAATGGCAAATAATTCTTTTTGAAGATTTCCTAGTCTTTTCAGCATTTTATGCTTTCTTCTTGCTGCTGGAAAATATCCACACACTTTATTTCTTAATGATAGGTGAAAAGACATATACATTATTTCACAAACTTTCTACCAATGAAATTTTTGAAAACTTTTGATGAAACAAGCTTAAAGTTAGAAGGTTGCTGATTTCATTTTTTGTGTGCAATGTACCTGACTTACAATAATATGTAACAAAATAAATAAAAATAGAACTAAATCTCTTACTTTCTTTTGATTTTTGAGGTAGTGTCTTGCTGTATTTTCTCAGGTTGGCTTCAAACTCAAATTTCCCTACCTTAGCCTCCCTAGTACTAGGATTACTGGTATGTGCCATCATGCCTAGCCATTAAATCCTTTCCTATTTATTTTTCTGTAATCGCTCTCATTCACACAATTTGAATAAGTTTAAGAAAAACAACCATGAGACAGAGATAGGAGTAAGTTTGATCAGGGTATACTGTTAAGTATGCATAGAAATGTCACAATGAGGGGTGGGAAGGTGGCTCAGCGGTAGAGTGCTTGCCTTGCATGCATGAGGGCCTTGGGTTTGATTCCTCAGAACCACATAAGCAGAAAAAGCCGGAAGTGGCACTGTGGCTCAAGCGGTAGAGTGCTAGCCTTGAGCTGAAGAGCTGAGGGACAGTGCCCAGGCCCAGAGTTCAAGCCCCACAAGTGACCCCCCCCCCCAAAAAAAAGTCACAATGAACTCCTCCTTGGATAACTAATATATGCTGCTAATAAAAAAATCTTTATAAAATTTTTAAAAAGAAAAGATGATGTAGATATTGTAGTAGCACGTGTGGTCCCTGCCCCATAATGTCTCTGTACACACATCGAGGTGAAGAGAAGTAACAAAGAAGGCCAAAAGCTGTATCATTTTTTTGGACTTTATCAGAATAATTTTGAATTAGGAAAAAAGTTTGTATAGGGCAACTCAAGATAGTCTTAATATTGAAACAACAAGAACAGTAACATGGTAATATGCCTGCTATAGAGATTTTAGGGGTAAAAGTAGAGAAAATACTTCCTTTCTCCTAATTCCTGTTCAGCTCTCAATATTCCATGCCTTCAAGCTAGCAAACTCCTAAATTCACCCAAATTTATCTTTCTGTTCTGTATTTCACAATACAGCTTCAGACAATTAAGAACTGAAGAGATAGTATGAATACACAAATATACCTAGAAGTATAAAACCCAGGAGCACTTATATTTGAAATTTAAAAGTACAAAATTTTAAAATATAGTTGGTTTTCATACTTTATCATAATTACATATAATTCAAAAAACAAAATGTTTAGAAATATCTTACTTTCCTCTCAAAACAAATCTTCAAAGTCCAGATGAAACTGTCAGGCACAAAGTTTTAAACCCATGTTGTTATCAACTCAGAATCAAGATATGATTTTAGGAAAGAAAAGGGTTTATTTTTCTCTACAATATGGCAATGAGAAAAGCCATTATTATTTTTGCTGAAGTCTCTTAAAAATAAAAAAGAGGAAGAAAAAAAAGATCTGTTCTATGATTCAAGCTAATTAAAAAACACATACTATTGCTCATTTTAAATTGCAATATGCTATGTATATCTTCCTTCAACCATTTCATACCATTACACTGTATTATTAGTATCTTGATTCTATCAAAACCAAATTTCGTTTTCATGCTAAAATGCTAGTCATTTACCAACAGCTAATATTAAAAATAGCTAATACCTAATCTTTCAATAGACACACAGAGAAAACTCCAAGCTTTTATATTTTTCCTGATTCTTTGTTCATCTTGACTGCTTCTTTAAAAAGTGTTACTTACTGCTTTTGAAAAATCCAGGCATCCTACTCCACGCTCAAAAGTTCCAAGTCCAATAATTTGCAATGTGCATAGACTAACTGAATCCCACACCCTGACATGGGGCTGCAGAGGCTGCAAAACACAAGGCAATAGGACTAACTGATATTCAGGAAAATGTAAAGACATACTGCTACTACAGAGAACTGTCTACTGTCTTTAGGGATGGTAGGAATTGATAAATATCTAATCATACTTAAAGAACTTTGATTATTTTTTAAAGGAAATATGTGGTAAGAGTAGCATCAACTAATTTGTGCATTTACATTTCACATACTATTCTATGTATCTCATACGTTACCTAATCATTTCATTTTCATAACCTTAAGAACTACAGGTACTCTATCATCTTATATATAAATAAACTGAGATAAAGAAACTTGACCAAATTTTACTTGTTGTAAAAAGGTAGTCAGGAGCCTAGCCCAGGTAAATTTACTCTGAAACTATGCTTTTCTTTTTTTGGTTGGTATCGTTATTTTATTATTTTTTAAATAATTCCACTATATTGCCTGGACTTGTCTCAAATAAATGATACTCCTGTTTTATCTCTCATAGAGCTGGGACTACAGATGTCACCCACCACACACAGCTTCACTACTCTGCTTTTTACATTCCCTTCATTTTTGAATAATATGCCTTAAAACTGAACTCATAGAAAATGTCATGAATATAGTCACACTTAGGTTAATTAAGTCATCAGTATTCACTGCTGATCTTAGAAATAAGAAATGTTTTACAGGCCAATTTACTAACATTGAATAGTGACTGAAAAGCTAAGTGATATTAGCTCTCATATACATCAAATCAAGAGATCTCATTGACTAAGGAAAATTGAAGCAACTTCAGATAAGCATTGAGAAGTTATTCTATGTAAAGAAAAATCTAACCAGAATATTACTCCTCCTATTTTTATAGTTTAAAAAGACTTTTTAGAAAAAAAAATTAGTAACATTCTTTTTGTGTTTTGAAACTCCCTTACATTCTATATTGATGTTGTTTTCCTTGCTTACACTAGAAATCCTTTAGTAAATTTTAACAGAAAATTGTAAGTTGTGGTTAAAATTACAATAAATTCCATTCTAATATCAATATCACTAGATATAGAATGCATAAAACTGTGCTGCTCACCCTTCCATCTTTATCCACTCCAGCTATCTGTCCAGTTGCGATCCTAATTTTGTCAGGATGTATAGCAAGGCTAAAAGGCAGCATCAACAATAATTTTAAATACAGGAAACATGTAAAACAGCAGAAATGTACCTTTGTATCAACATTTTTCAAACAAATAAGATTCTAGCTATTAAAAACTCACTTTGGCCTATTTATTTTCTTTAGTAAATTAAACAAATTTAAATTATCTGAAGCTATATACTTTCCTTTCTTAATCAACAAATTACTGGAACATTTTATTTTAAGCAAATACTTATCCACAACTTTGTATAGCAACAAATTAAACTGTTTTCATTTGCTCAAGTTTCTTGGTGGTTCATTCAAGGTGTAATATTATATTGGTATTATTAATATTAAAAATATGCATCATTTCATCTTGCTACATAATCCTTATACATATTAGTAATTAATGATGCCTTAATATTTTAGGTCATTTCTTTTTTTCTAAAAATTAACTTAGCAGTACCTCAAATACTTTGTCATCAACCTTTTAATTAGTTAACACTTGGTGGGGGTGGAGGGTTGCAAATAGTGGGGAGCAGTACTAGGGTTTAAACTCTAACAATGACTAGATAGGTCATTGAAATGGTTCCCCTAATCTCTTGCTTTGTTTTTCAGATAGGGTCCTATACTTTTTGACTGGGACTAGCCTCAGACAGATCTTTCTACCCATGATCCCTAAATAGCTAGGATTACAGATAAAAATCCCTATGTGTTAACTTATTGCCTCCCAAGTAGCTGGGATTATGGGCATGTATCATCACATATGGCTTAATACATTTTTAATCCTAAACTCTTGAATCAAATTTATGGCATGAAATTTTTAAATAAAAATGCAAAATAGTGAAATGTACTCAAACTGACCATGGTAAACATACAACTGATTAGCAAAAACAAAACAAAATGAAAAAAAAACATAAATAATGTCTTCCTGTCCGTATTAGAATCTTTCTGTATCTTGCAAACAAATGGTAGAATAACTGAAAATATAACTTTTCCTTCTGAAGTATGTATTGCTCATTATTTTCTAGATTAGTGTTGAAGATAAAAATATTCCAGTTTCTCCATATATACATATATATCTTAGCCAAACAGAAATGAAGTCCTGAGTTCAAATTCCAGCACTGCAAAAAAAAAAAAATTCTCTTTAAAAATATTTTTCTACTAGCTGGGCACCGGTGGCTCACACCAGTAATCTTAGCTATTCAGGAGGCTGAAATCTGAGCATCACTGTTCAAAGCCAGCGGAGACAGGAAAGGTATTGTGAAACTCTTATTTTCAATAAACCACCAGAAAACTGGAAGTGGTGTTATGGCTCAAGTGGTAGAGTGCTAGCCTTGAGCTGAAGAGCTATGGGACAATGTTCAGGCCCAGAGTTCAAGTCCCATGACCGAACAAATGAAAATTTCTTTTTCTACTAATTTGATTGGTATAAATGGTATTTCTTTGATTATTAAGAAATCTATCAGTGTTTCCTTAGTTCTCTTTCCTCTTCAATAGTTTTTATGTCCTGCACCGAGGTCAACTACATTAAAAGTAACAAAAAAATTAATATATTAACACCTCATCACATTTAGCTCACATCTTTTCAAACAAATTTTTTAAATTACAATTTCTGAAGCAGGTAATATTTTTTTCATGGTTCAAATACCAACACTATCTTAAAAATATACTGAGAAAGCCTCTTTTCCTCCTGTCTTAACTGCTAATATTTCATTTATTCACCCTTCCCCACTACCTTAAGCCTCCAAAGGCAACTGTATAATTAGTTTTAAAATAATTCTAGGAACTTTTTTTTTTTAAAAAGTGAAAGCCAAGATAAGATTAATGTTTCTATTCCCATTTTGTTTTTTAGTGTTTTTTGAGTGGGGAATTGGTCCCTCTATGTAGCTAATGCTAGCTCAAATTTTCAATCTCGTTTTAGTGTCCTTAGTGCTGGAATTAGAAGCATGTACAACCATGGCTGTTACTTGGAATTTCCTTACAAACACAGTAGAAAAACAAACGTTTTCCTACTCTTTAATATGTTCTTGGAAATATATCTTAGGGATTTGTCTGTATTAACACATGATACCTCGTTCTTTTCTTTTTTTGTATTTGCTTGTTTTGAGACAGGGTCCTGCTTCATAGTTCAGACTTAGCCTTGAATTTTCAATCCTCTAGTATTAAACTCTTGGGTGTCAGGATTCTAGGCTTGAACCACTATGCCAGGTATCATCTTTCTTATTCTGTTTATATGGCTGCATGTTGACCTGTGGTTTTTAACTACAACTGAAAAATAGTAAGGCTGTAGCTAACCTTAACTATCAGAATGTTGCAATAATTTGTACATATATTAATCTGCAATATTAAATATTTTAATCATTTCTGAGTTCAACAATATTTGTACAATATCCTAATAATCATGAGTCTAAACATTAAAAAGGTACCTTATGAGATACTTATGATCCTATTCAGCCATGACCTTTCCCCCCCAGTAAAGCTTCCAGTTTAAAAGTCATGTGCATAGCATTCTTTACCATAGCTAAGACATGGAACCAACCCAGATGCCCCTCAGTAGATGAATGGATCAAGAAGATGTGGTATATATACACAATGGAATTCTATGCCTCCATCAGAAAGAATGACATTTCCCCATTTGTTAAGAAATGGAAAGGCTTGGAAAAAATTATATTAAGTGAAGTAAGCCAGGCCCAAAGAAACATAGGTCCCATGGTTTCCCTTATTTGCAATATCTAGTATAGGTATGAGTCAAGCGGAAAAAGTCAGATAATGTGATGTTAGGAAAACGAAACCTCAAATATGTATTTTAATGTTTTTGTTTCTTTCATGCATGTATTTCTAACGCATTTATAAGATTATTTCTTTGTTGCTTTGTATGTCCCTCCCCCACAGTGTAATCCCCGCTTTCACTATATTTGATGTCAGTATAACATGTGGAGGAGATGGGGACAAACAAGTCCTTTAAGGATTCAGGTGGACCTGTTGCAACAATGAGAAGTACAAAATGTCATGTCAAAACCAGCTTTACAATGTCGGTGGGGGGAGGGGTGGGGGGTATGATTGGGTGGGAGGGAGGGGGGAGGCTGGGAAGGGAGGTGAAGGGTAAACAAAGGAGGAGGCTGCAATGCTTGGCAAGAAATGTATGCATTATCCTGCCCATGTAATTGTAACCCCTCTGTACAGTATGTTCTCAAATAAAATAAAATAAAATTTAAAAAAAAAAAAAAGAAAAAAAAAAAAAAGTCATGTGCATAAGAACCTACTCAGAAACCCATAAAAAATGTCATATAGATTCCAGCTGTAATCTATAGCGGAATATATATTTTATTGCTGCCAATATTACACCTACCATATTAAAAGATTATAAGACCTTTTCTTTTTTTAACGTATATTTTACTGAACACTTATAATATCCTTATATTCTGAGTTTTCCACAAGGAAACATTTGTAGTACAATCCAAATTTTAAAAATAGAAAATGAAGATACAAGAGAGCAAAACTGAATGTGTTACATGATACCAACCATTTCACACAGTCTGTATGACCCAGGTAGTGTCGTTGAGTTCTCTCCTCATAATTAAATAGTACTACTACTGAAGCAATGAAATAAACTATTTCCCCCGTAGGAAGAAGGTAAACATTAGCTCGGCAGTCCTTTCCTCGGTAACCATATCTTAAAAGAAAAACGTTAAGGTTTTTAACAATTATTCAGGTTGTTAAGCTATTTTTAAAAGGATATCAGCAAGGTATAATGAAAATATTACTGGACTAGAACTAGAAAACTCATCCCACGATTATCACTGTCCAACTCTGAGTCTTTCATTATGTTTGTGTCAGTTTCTTCATTCATCAGACAAATATGTACTGAATTCATAATCTAATAGGTATCAGGTATAGTGCTGAACATAGTTCTTAGCAAAGCAAATGTGAGGTCTATGTTCTGGGAGAAGACAAAAATAATCTTCAAATAGGTTATTATGAACATGGAAAGAAAATTAATTGATTCAAATTATATAAACAACCGAGATGCCCTAAAATAGAGTAAGAAGATGTGTACATGAGTGCATGCAAGCACATGCATACACAAAGATTTTATTTATCCATTAAAACTGTCATTGGCAGGCAAAATGGATGGGACTGGAAAAATTCTATTAAGCAATGTTAAGTTAAGCTCCGAAAAACAATAGGTGTATGTTTCTCTCATTTGTAAATTAAAAACATGAAAATATATGCAAATATACTTTTCATTTATATACAATCAAATTGACTAACGTATGATATACAAGTGTGGATTCTCATGGTAAGACATGTTTTATGTCAGGTGGCGAGGGTTAATGCTTGAATGGAGTAGAGGTGAGAAATACAGTTAATACTGTACATAAATGAAAATGAAACTAGGTAAGGGAATGGGATAGAAGGGGGATGATGATGAAAGGGATGAAACTGATCAAGATGCACTGCATTATACACTGACATGTTCAACTGAAACCTCTTTACATAACTATTAAAAAATAAAAATAAACCTGGGTACTGGTGGCTCACACCTAAAATCCTAGCTATTCAGGAGGCTGAAATCTAAGGATCGAGTTTGAAGCTAGGCCCAGCAAGAAAGCTGGTGAGACTGTTATCTTCAACTAACCACTAGAAAACGGGAAGTGGTGCTGTGATTCAGTGGTAGAGTGAGAGCACTGTGTGAATAAACTCAGAGAAAGCAAGCCTAGGCCCCCAGATCAAGCCCATGACTGACCAAAAAAATTTTTTTTAAAAAAAGCTTTTGATAAAAGGAAATTTAATAAAAAAACTTAAAAAAATAAATTTAATGGGATGCTAAGAGGAAGCATAAACAGTGACTACTTTAGATGAAAAAAGGAGTAAAATTAAGTCCATCTGAGAAAAGTGACATTTTCGTTGATGCTGTAACAAATCATAGGATTGGTGAGTTTTTCCAAGTTGATTTCTGTCTACTGCAAAGAATTTTAAGGAGTCTGAAGAGGAGGTTGAAAGAAAAATGGCAGGTGAGAGCCGAAGTCACACTATTAGCTTTTGTTTCAGAGGTTTTTTTAAAGAGATTATTAAATGACAGTTTGTAGGTGAAACTAGAAAATCTCTGTATTAAATTGCTATTTAAAACAATGTCCAGCAGAGAATTAGGGAAATAGTTAGCTTCATTAATTTAAGCTCTTAATAAAATGATTTACATTATACATTATTTCACAGGTTATACAATGTTTAATGAAAAAAATTTGAAAGGGAGAAATGATAGGATTTGAACTCGGGGCCTTTTGTTTATGTACATTCTATCATTGAGCCATATATTTAGTTATTTTCTCACTAAAGTCTTATAACAGCTCTATAAGCCAGTTACTGACCTCTTATACAAGTGGAGAAAGTTAAGGTTTATAAAGAATAATAACCATTAGGACCCTAACTCAACCACTAGACTTTCAATTCTAGTCCAGTACCTTTTCTACCACACCATTACCAGCTGTGATGTTCATGTTCAAAGAATGCTGCTTAACCTTTATGAATTATTTTTGATGAATTTAAGTTGCTAGTAGCAAAATATATGTAGCATATAAAGAAGATTAGAGCTATCTTTTAAATTTATCAAGTAGCTATGTTTATTTTACTGTCAGATATAAAGGCTGGAAACCAATTTTTCTTCTAAAGACAAAGCAAATAGGTTTGTTGTCTTGGTAGAGAAGGATACGCCCACTCCAGTTTAAGCTTCTCAGGAGGAAGTTCTGTTCTGATGTCATCATAGTTGTCAACATCAGAAGGAATGAACATCGTAATTGGCCGACCTCGCATAAACATTTTAATATATTCTCCTTCTGTTGAAACATAAAAGTTAAGTCACATGTATTTTTGTATGATTGTACGAAAGTAGATTAATGTTAACTTATAATAAAAAATAAGACAAAAGTAGCTAAAGAAGTTTTTATTTTCATATGTAGTTGTTTTGTTATATAGTAGGCATACAGAAAAAGTGATATTATAAAGATGTATTCTAAAACACTGTAGCACAAAATAAGTTACTATTTCCTTGAGGATAGCTTTTTCCATAATTAATAATTTATCTGTTCAAGTTAACACATTTCTATAATGCCAGGATGGATGCAATAGAAAAATACTAAAGAAAATTATTTAGTAATAAACATTTCTCTAACTGTTGACTGCGAACTGCTGAAAAGAGAATTTGGTTGATTAGACAAAAACCATACCACAGCGCTACCTGATCAACCTAATTATTAATAATACATCAAAACAGGACCTCTAAACTAAAAAGTGCTGCACAGCAAAGGAAACCATCAGTAGAGTAAAAAGCCAGTATGGGGTTAATCTCTAAAATAAGAAATACCTACAAGTCAATAGTAAAAGCAACAAGACAAAATGAAAAACCAGCCAGGTGCTGATGGTTCACACACCTCTAATCCTAGTTACTAATAGCCTACAATCTGAGGATCCCAGTGAAGCCAGTTAGGCAAGAAAGTCCTTACTCTAATCTCTCACTAGCAAAAAGTTGAGAGTGAACAACCAAGCACCAATAGCTCATGCCAGTTATCCTAGACTCAGGAGGCTGAGATCTGAGGATCACATCAGAAGCCAGCCTGGAGAAGAAAAGTCTATGAGATTCTCATTTCAAACTACCTACCAGCATACCAAAAGTGGGAATTGGCACTGTGGCTCAAGTGGTAGAGGGTTTGCCTTGCACTGAAGAGCTCAAGGACAGCACCCAGGCCCAGAGTTCAAGCCCCAGGACCAACAAAAACAATAAGCAAGCAAACAAATAAACAAAAAGAAGTTATGGCTCAAGTGGTAGAGCACTAGCCTTGAGCAAAGAATCTCAGGGACAGATAGTATCCAGGCCATGAGTTCAAGCACCAGGACTAGCATAAAAATAAATGAATGAATGTCTAGAATCAAATCAATATTTGTCATATGTGTTTTACAATACTAAACATGAGATTGTCCTCTTTTTTTTTTTTTCTTGTTGCTTATGTGGTACTGAGGAATCGAACCCAGGGCCTCAGGCTTGCAAGGCAAACACTCTACCACTGAGCCACCTTCCCAGCCCATGAGATTGTCTCTTATTCATCCAAAATCTAAAACAACCCCTAATCCATTCCACCTATCCCTGTCTTTAGCATTCCAAGGATCTACATACAGAAAGGCTTGATATTTGTTAGTGATTATAAATGGTTACAAAAGAATGCAAAAGGGGAAGAGAATGAAATAAACTAAGTACAAAAGCACAGGAAATGTCTAAACAATTGGCATCTTGCTTGGCACTGTATGAAAATAGTAGTGAACCAATCTGAAAATGCAACTATCAACCAGAGGCTGATGCAATCTCAAGATTTCTAATAATGACTTGTGGTACCTAAGAAGAGAACAAAATCCAGTAATTCAATAGTTTATATAATACCAGCTATGAAAAGAAAGACAAATCACTTGCAAAATGTCTGCATTGTTTTTTAGTCACATTAAAAGTTGTGTTTTATGGGTGAGAAGTTCAAGTTATTTATATTGTTATTACTCACAATGGACTTGGCCTCAGGGTTTGATCTAAGGCTAAAACCTCCCACACTATGGTCTAAATACCACATGATGTATATCTCTATCACTTTTGAATATGAGTGGGCATTGTTTTCTGGTATATTTAGCATAGCTGGACTTTGATAGTAATTAAATGATCACCTACTACTAAATATCTTCCTTATACAACTATTCTTTTTTTTGGGGGGTGGGGTGGGGGTTGGTTGTGGAGCTTGAACTCTGGGCTGAGCATTGTCCCTGAGCCCTTCAGCTTAAGACTAGCACTCTACCACTTGAGCTACAATGCCACTTCCGGTTCTCTGGTGGTTAAGTGGAGATAAGAGTCTCACAGACTTTCCTACCCAGGCTAGCTTTGAACTGTGATCCTCAGATCTCAGTCTCCTGAGTAGCTAGGTTTACAGGCATGAGCCACCAACGCCTGGCGTAATTATTATTATCTATTGCTCCTTGCCCCTTTTTTGTAAATTTAATCTGTTATAGGTATTGCTTGCTAAACATAACTCTCTCTAGTTTTTTCTTTTAAGACTATAGTTTCTGAAGACAGAGACACTGTCCTTTGGAATTTCTCCCAGGATTTTTTATCAGAAATGCATACAAAAAATGCTATCTGAATAAAAATTAGAAGTTAATAAATGCCTCTATTGCTACTTAGAAAGGAATATATGGTTAGTAAGAGTTAGAAATACAATGAGATTAATAGAGACAGACAGCTAAGAATACCATACAGATTTTATTAACTATCATGTAGCAAAATCAACTAAATGGGGAATTAAAAGGAACTATTAGTGCTTGCTACAAAAATGGCAATACATGTTATGATAAAAATGTTTTCTCTGTCTTTAAAGTGTGAGTATATTTGTTGGAGACCAAGTATATAATTTAAGCATTTTAAATTAAATTCCTGGAACTGAGAGAGAGAAACAATACATTACAATAGAAAGAACAAGAGCTTTGGAAAGACTCCAGAATTTGAATTGTAATTGTACTGTTTATTAGCTGTGAGACTTGTCCTCATTTTCTGGTATATAATACTATCTATTGCTTGAGATTATGATTACAAGACACCATACTATGAAACAATATATAAAATGACAAATATTTGTTCCTCTGCCTTTGGGGATTCTTTTTTTAAGACAAGGTCTAGAGATTCAGACAAGTCTGGCCTCAAACTCCTAACTCCTGCCTCTGTCCCCAACACTGAATACACCAAACCAAGGAGGCAGTAGCTGTCAGGTATGTGGGCCCATTATTAACAGATATTTTCATTTTTTAGGAGAAAGAGTACGTCTCTATTGTAAAATCTGGCAATTTGAAAATGTTTGCCCCTTTGTTAAAAAAAGAGGGAGATATAGCACAATGTGAAAACATACCTATTTGGACTGCATATAGCATAGGTCACCAGTTTGGCACTTCTTGAAGTAGACAGTCTTTACCTTGGGAATCGGATAAAAGATGAAGGCACTCTTCTCCCTTAGTTGTTGTCGTTCTCGCGCAAATGTTTTCTTGAGACTATCAGGCTTCTTCACCTTATGATCAAAAACTTTATGGCTGGTATGTTTATATTACCCAGCACTACTTTCTAGCTGTCCTCACTGTAAACTACCAGGAAAGTCAATGGAAACAAATGGGTCACCAGACTGGTCAAAGTAAAGCCTGAGATCAGTAAAACCAGTATGAAGTATGTTTTGCTTGTTTGGTTTTGAATTTTTTTTTTTTTTTGTCGGTTGTGGGGCTTGAACTCTGGGCCTGGGCGCTATCCCTCAGCTCTTCAGCTCAAGGTTAGCACTCTACTGCTTGAGCCACAGTGCTACTTCTGGTTTTCTGGTGGTTTATTGGAGATAAGAGTCTCATGGACTTTCTTTCCTGCCTAGACTGACTTTGAACTGTGATCCTCAGATCTCAGCCTCCTAAGTAGCTAGGATTACAGGCGTGAGCCACCGGTAGCCCAGCTGGTTTTGAATTTTTTGAGGTAGAGTTCTACTATGTAGCCTAGGCTGGCCTTGAACTTGTGATCCTTCCGCCTTTGCTTCCCCAATGCTGGAATTACAGGCACATACCTCATGTGCAACAGTTTTATAATTGAGGGAAAGAAATTTGAGTTACCTACTAGTAGACAGAATTGGATTATTAAATGTAATTAATCTCTACACTTAACTCTTGGAACAGTGAAATTTGGAATAAAGAGAATACAAGGAATACAAGCTTTAATGCAGAACTTGATTTGACTCAGCTTCAACACTAAAGCTCAAATCATTTTTTTCAGGGAGGGGGGAATTTCCCAAACTCGAATATAGGGCCTAGGTGTCCTTGAGCTTTTCTCTCAAGGTTAACATTCTACCACTTGAGGCACAGGTCCACTTCTTGCTTTCTGGTGGTTAACTGGAGATAAAATTCTCATGAACTTTCCTGCCGAGGCTGGCTACAAACCACAATCCTCAGATTTCAGCCTCCTAAGTAGCTAGAATCACAGGTATGAGCCATCAATGCTCAGCAAGATGTTTTTAATTGAATCTGGTCAGTAATGGTTTAATTATAAAATAAGTTCTATAGGATATTGTTGATTAAAAAAAAGCAACTACAGTAATAAATTCATTTATAGTTAGTATTTGCTTAGTCTAAGATATATAGTTGACCCACCAAAAGTGAGTCAACAAGATATAAACTTCTTAAATAAAGCTTTGTGTGTGTGTGTGTGTGTGTGTGTGTCAGTTGTGGGGCTTGAACTCTGGGCCTGAGCGCTGTCCCTCAGCTCTTCAGCTCAAGGTGAGCGCTCTACCACTTGAGCTACAGCGCCACTTCCAGTTTTCTGGTAGTTTATTGGAGATAAGAGTTTCACAGACTTTCTTGCCCGGGCTGGCTTTGAACTATGATCCTCAGATCTCAGCCTCCTAAGTAGCTAGGATTACAGGCATGAGTCACCAGTGCCTGGCCCTTAAATAAAGCTTTAACAGGCAATGAGACTGAAGCACTAATAGTCTCCTAAGAAAAGCTCAGGGACAGATGGATTCACAGCCAAATTTGACTAGGCCTTTAAAGAAGAGCTAACAGTATTCTTCAAACTCTTCCATGAAATAGAAAAAGAAGGAATGCTATGAAATTCACTCTATGAAGCAACTATTATACTCATCTCAAAATCAGAGATACAACAGAGACAGAATTGTAGACTTATCTTGATGAACACTGATACAGTAAGTCTCAGTAAAATCTTTGCAAACAGAATTCAACAGTATATATATTTTAAAAAATCATGCATCACAATTAAGAGATGTGAAAG